GACAATAAATTATCAATGCAAGACTAAACGTTTCTGTGTGCAAAGAGGAACTTTCTGTATAGACAAAGCTGTAGCTTTAGTTTTAGGAGTTAAGAGTCACATGGCGACCGGATGGCTGAGTGTTTAGAGCTGAGACCACATGGGCCAAAAACGTTGATATCAGCCCAGTCCCTGGTTTGACTCCCAGCCGACTGGAATTTTATTGCTCGTCATTTCCCGACTGTCTTTTCACCTTAACAGGGTCGACCTGTATCATCACCTTCACACTAATTGGCACTGATTAGGAGGTGTTCTCGGTGTGTATACAAGGTGTGTCAGAAAAGCTCCAGGACTGGTGTCACAAAACCAAACTACAAACTATGAGTTTTCCCCTTCAGACGATCAACCAGCACGTCTACAAAGAGATCCTGCGTCTTTGCCTCGTTCAGTGCGTGAGAAGAGGCGAGAGTTGTGGCAGGACAATTGGTGACTGCTTCACCAACACGCCTGCTCACAATGCCCTGAGCATCCAACAGTTCCTGGCTGAACATCGCTGTGCTGGAGCAACCTCCCTACTCACCCCAACTGGCTCTGTGGGATTTTTTTTCCTCTTCCCCAAGCTCAAGGGGGTCATCAAGGGTACTCGTTTTGAAGACGTAGAGGACATCAAGATGGCTGTGACGACGGAGCTGAGGAGGATCCCGGAAGAATCCTTCCAGGAGTGCATGGAAGGCTGGGAAAGTGCGTTAGACTCCAGAGGGATAACTTTGAAGGGGAAATCTTGTAGTTTGGATTTGAAATATATCTTTTGTGACACCAGTCCTGAAACTTTTCTGACACACCTCGTAGAGACAAAAGAGACATGTGTTGTGACTAATACCGAATGTTATCAATTTACAAACCCTACTGAAAATTTTATGCAGTTTCTAAAATTTTTATTTTTTTATTTTATTTAACCTTTATTTAACCAGGTGAGTCCCACTGAGATTGATATCTCTTTTACAAGGGAGCCCTGGTCAAGAGGGCAGCAAAAAGGGTTACAACAATACAACACAAAAAGTTAAATAAATAATTTAACAATAAAGAAGTGAGTCAATCCTGATCAATGATCTACACGCACCTCAAACTACAGAGCAACTACAGAAAAGTTGTTAATTAAATTTTGAGTCATTTAGATGAATTATTGTAAATGAAAAATATATTCACTCCTTCAGGCAGTGGAGGAGGGCCAGTAGGGTTTTCAGTCCTGAGTAAAGTTTGCAGAGTTTCCTGTCCATCAGTCAGTCTTAGAATTGAATTGATTAAATGAAACCTATTAGGTGAAACTCAAAGCCAACAAGTTCCCCATGCACTTGCAGCTATTCCCAAGGAATATCAGTAAAGTACTATATAAAGGCAACCTTAATAACACATTTACTGTAAGGAGGCTGGAAATCATTCAGAAATCCAGAAATACTTCCCATTGTCTTGGTTACTTTAAGCCACCTGAATATAAAACCAGGCTCAACACAGCATTTCCAAGTTATTCTTCACTGTGTCAGTTGCATTCACAGTGCATGTACATGAATTCTATCTTCAAAATATGTCTGAATTCACTTTGTGTATTGAAGATTACTCACTCTGCCATCCCCTGCTCCATGTTTAAGTCTATTCCTCCGTCCAGCAGACTCCCATCCTCAGCAAACACCGGCTTGGCCATGGCTGACATGGAGCGGTAACTCCCCACGTACACTGCTAGTGCGAACACCAGCAGCAGCTACATGAGACACGGCAGTGTTAAAAACCAGGAAGGGAGGTAAGTTACATGAAGTTAAAATAGGTTTGTGGCCATTTTAAATAATCTTGATTTGACACACTCACCCATGTCCAAAATGTAGACGAACTGTAGAAAACCAGGAAATTTATGGCAGCATATATTGCCTGCAGAGGAAGAGCATTTGAAATGGACATGAACAGTGTAACAGAGCGACAACACTTAGTCCATCAGACAGTTCACAACTCATTTTTACAGTCTATCAAATGTTGCAGTCACTTTTGGAACAAAGACACCAAACTGTGTCTGGTTCCTGCTTCTCACACGTGACAAGTGGCTGGTTGTCTTTGTCTTATATGAGAATACATTTAGTATCTCAAGGTTTATAACGTTTATTTTAAAAAAAATAAATAAAAAACACACACACACACACAAAAAACAAGCAAATTTCTGACATTTAGACTTTTCCTTTGACTGAAACAACCTAAAAATATCACTGAGGTTCTCACATTAGCTCCCAGGATGACTCTGGTGTAGAACTTCAGAGTCGCCTCGTTCTCTTCGTAGATCTGCTTCTTTCCCTTTGTGCCAACTTTACCTTTGGGCTGTTGGGTGAAATACAGAGAGAAGTGTCAGCAGTATCAACACAACTATATCAGTGTAAAAGTGCACTGTGGGTAAACACAGTGCCAAACAGGCTGAGCTTTTCAGACATTCCTTTGTTATGGTGCCTGGCCAGACATCCTGCTTTCTAAAGGTAGTAAATGTCACTCACATCTTACAGTTTTCTTCTCAGAAACAATAACTAGGATCTCATTTAATGTGGAAACCTGAAGAGTAGAGAATTTTATGTGCAGTTTGTTTTTTGTTTTTTTTAAACATACGTCTTGCACTAGAATCACAGATTATCAAAAGGGCGATTACAGCATCAATAAGTAATGAATATTTAAGCTTATTAATGTGTAAGCTTTATTATTTGCTTTTTTTGAAATTCTTCATATAGTAAATGCATGTTTAACTTTAAACTGCTTTCTGGCAGGTAGAAATGTTCCAATTACACATTTTACGCTATTACATTACAGCGTTGCTCTATGTTGTTAGTTTATTGTAAATCCTGGGAAACCTTGTGATAACCTCCTATTTAGTCAATATTTAGTCCGTTAAATTAAAATTGTATATTCATATTAGAACTAGTTGGCTAAATTTGCACAATTTCTAATATTGTAGGGCTGCAACCTTAATATTTAGTCAGGTAAGTTTGCATTTTATATCATAGTGTAGAGGTCATAACTATAATATTTAAAACAGTTTGGTATAATTACAAAATAAACATTCATGTAGGGTCTTAACTGTAATATTTAGTTTGGTGAATTAGTATTTTATGTAACATTGTAGGAGTCTAAATGCAATATTTGCAATACTTAGGTAACTTCACATAATAAATACAAATGTATCAACCTTCCTACATTCAATTTAGTCAGGTAAATGTCCATATCAGTACTGCTGTACGGTCTTTACATTTAATTTAGTCAAGTAAATTTGAATAATCGTTAACATTGTCAGGTCTAGACCTTTATATTTATGGAGAGAAATTTGGACTTTATATAATATTGTAGGGCTGTAACCCTAAAATTCAAACTAGTGACATAAATGTTCATACTTAATAAGATTACAGGGTTCTAACCTTAGCATTTAAAATACTCTGGTCAGTTAAAAAAAAGAAATAATACTACAGTGTTTTACACTTAATATTTAGACTTCTTAGGTCAATTCGCAGGGCACAGTTTTATTTTTCCACTGGAAAACACTTTGGTTCACTAGCTTTATTTGATTTGCTTTTAATGTGCTGAATAAATACCAGTGACTTGATTTGACTGGATTCAACGTGAAAAAGTGACAGAACTGAGCTTTTTCTGTTTCTTTCCCTCCACACACGCGAACATTTCGCCTCTTCGGCAGCCAGCAGCTGAGTCACTGTACACAGCAGCAGCACCAGTCGTAGTAAACAGTCAGTGGATGTAGAAGTGAATGAGAGAGTCGCTGCCGCTGCTGTCACTGCTGCAGCTGCATGTGTTTGAGTCTCTCACCGCCATTCGCTCTGTGAACCGCTGCTGCTGCTGATCTCCTCTGCTGCGTCTCCTTTGACATCGACGTCTGAGCCACTTCCGACTTTTTCTGCCACTGCATCAAAAAGCAACAACTGACTCTGGTGTCTCCCTTCGTTGTGATTTCTTGAAACACATCAGCATTTGGGGCTTGTGGCAGTAGCTACATTTCCGGCGCACGAATAAGACGTCATCAAGTCGTCGCCTCATCCGCCCTCGTGTGGTGGACAAATCAGCTCGTTAAACTTGGCTACAGACTACCATCTGCTGGTCTTTTTCTTTTAAGTCGATAAAACACGATGATTAATTTAATTTAATTTAATTTAATTTAATTTAAATTGACAGACCATACCTGACAGTCATACCCCTTTCAAGGTATGGCTCAGTTAAAATGAAAGTTAAAAACAAAACCTAACTTTTAATTAGTGTATAATATTGCAGATTCTTAAAAAATATAATTAAGTTTCATAATATATAATAATGCCGGGCCTGAACCTTAAAATTTACATTAGTCAGGTAAATGTACATAATCAGTAAAACTATGGGTTCTAATCCTTGACATTTAAAATGGGCAAATTTACATAATTAAATATAGAATAGAATAGAATAGAAGCTGTAGGGTCCTACCATTATTATTTAGATTAGTTAGGTAAATGTACAAAATAAATATTTTTAAAGGGTCTTAACTTTATATTTAAAATATATTAATTTATGCACAACGGTTTTTGTTTTAAATGTGCAATATAAAAGATGGTGATTTAGCTTGATTTTCCTTGACTGCAAATGTTGTGTAGATGAATTATTTTATTTGTACTTACAAAAATTGACATCTTAGGTTTTGCATTTAAATCTTTTATTTCTTAATTCTTGTTATTTTGACATCTTGGTATTATGCCTTCGCTTTGTCTGTCATAATCCCTGTTTTTAAAGGTGGCATATACGTAAATAAACAACAACAATAATGATGACGATGATTATAATGATTATTATTATTGTTGGTAGTCGTAGTAGTAGTAGTAGTAGTAGTGTAGTATTATATGTACGCATAATAACGTTTTCACACAGTCAAAGCTAAAAAGGCGTTTGTATTTTTCGAGAATGCACTTTGACTCTTCTCGGCCACCGTCGCTGTCTAAATAATAACATCACTGCTGCTGTTTGCCTCAGTGAGCTCTTATCGCTGTGTCGGTAGGTCCAACAGGCTTCCTTATACCCCACTGCTAAACTGATGTTGGGACCGTTTGGTAGCTAAAAACTGACACTTTACTCTACAAAATGGAATATCTGCTCCAGGTGAAAATAGGCGCTCTGATCGGGCTGCTGCTCTTAACTCTTTTTTTTGGATTCATCCCTGCTCGAGTCCAATGGTTCAGAGACACACACGGGACAGGTCGGTACACTTTAATAATATGACATCAACCTATCGTTACCAGCTGTTAAAGTTACTATTTGTGTTTATTACGATCGCCTGTGTCACTGTTGTGTCCATGTTTATAAGAAGAAGGAACATGAAAGTTGCTTCCAATCACAGGTGAACAATGGCGAACAAATTCAACATTTTGTATTGATTAGGTTATTTGTTGCTTTATTATACTAATGCCGAATTAAAAAAGGAAAGTCGCTGACTTATGTAGAGTTTTCATTTATGTTCTAGGATGTGCTGCCATTCGCATATAAAGCATTGAACCTTAAATTGCCGGAATTTTAAATAAACTTTGGTGTATCACTCAAGATTAGTCAATTTAGAGTGATAGACAATGATTTTATCAGCCGTATCTACATGTGAATCACATGTTTTGGCTGCAGATAGTGTTCTGAAGGCAATGAAATGCGGGTGATTTGATCAACTATCACCTAGAAGTCATTTACAATGTAATGCTGCTGAGATTATAGAGGGCAGATAATCTGATGAATAACAGAGTAGCATTTAAACACTGATCACAGGCCCAATAACATTATGAGCAAGAATTCTTCTGCAAATGTTTAATCTTCATTTAGTTTGCGATGCTCTGGTACTGGTAGCTGAACCTTGCATCACTACAATATCAACCTATGTCAGCGCTCCTCTCACCCATGACTGCAGTCACCTGACAGGGATGAAGCCTAAAGCCTTCTAAACTCGTGGTCACATTTAATTTCACCTATAGCCCACAGAACATGGCTATTGGGATGGTGAACTTTGCCTTTTTTACGTGGAAGTAAAAGTAACACTTTTCTCCATTACGTTTATGACACACTGATGACTCAGTTTGACTACTTTCTGTTGATATTCAACTTGTGCCATGTCAGATGTCCTAACTTTGAAAGGAGTGAAACTGATTTTTTATTAGGAACTCTGTGTCTAAGATGTATCCCCAGTCCTCCAGTTATGGGCTAATTAAATATTAATGGTTTGCAATCAACTGATAATAAGTTGGAAAATGTAAAATGTCTCATTAAGTCATAATTCAGGAACAATACAGGAGAAATAGATGAAGTCAGAAACATACCACTGATGCAAAACATGGAAAATATGCTTTATTTACTTTAATTTGCCATGGTTTTAGCAGTGTGGTTAACCTCATGTTTTCTTTTTCTTTTTACAGAGACCCACCGCACTGTTCTGAGTCTGATCAGCTGTTTTGCCGGAGGAGTTTTTCTGGCAGCATGTTTGCTCGACATCATTCCAGATTATTTGTCAGACATCAACACGGAGCTCGATATTCGGGAAGTGGAGGTATGACACATTGATTAAATTTAAATTTAATTAATTAAAAAAAACAAAAAAACAAGACAAACAGCAAACCCTCACATTAGAGAACCTGGAATCAGATAAGTGCTTTTACTTAAGACGTGACTTCACCTTATCAGTTAATTGATTGAATCATGCACACATCTGACTGAATCATTGAAACTACTGTGATTTATCTGTATGTGCTAAACTACTTAGAATAGAAGATATTTGCTGTTTCATTCTCCTCAAGATTAAAACCTTGCTGAGCTGATTTTGTTCTTCAAGAATTTAAAAGAATGCAAAAGATGTAAATAAATAAAGTCAGCACACGTGATCGACATTTTTTTCTTCTTGTTTTATTACACAGAGAAACTGACATATTTCAATCTGGTGCAACGTCAACACATTCAACCTGTGCATTGGGAATAATTTGCACATTTAAAAACTCTGTGCAATGTACATTTTTTACATATACTGAAGTCTGTCCATTATTTGTTTGTGCAATATGGATAAATTCTGTGAAACATTAGTATTTTTACTTGTGGAAGCATCTGTGCTATACCATTGATGTGTACAATGTTGTTATTTTCCACAACAGTAGAATTTTTATGTGCATTATCTGAATATCCACCCATGGAAGAATCAGTACTCATGTATGTTTTTGTTTTCTACTAATGTTCCCTACAGTTCTCCATTGTGGGATTAATAAAGGCTTATCTTATCTTGTGACACAACTTTATAACAACGCTCCAATATTTGATACCTTACAGGTTTTACTGTTCAGTTGTCTGTTTAAAATCCCAGTTCACTGATCCTTTACTGCACCAGACTGAACCTGCAACCTTTTTAATCCCTATTTTGGTCTTAAACAGACCAACTTTCCCCTTCCAGAGTTCATCATTGCAGCCGGCTTCTTCACGGTCCTCATCCTGGAGAGGATTGTCCTGAACTGCCGGGAGCTGAGAGGGAGTCACGCAGAGAGGGCACCTCTTATACCAGACAACAGGGACAGGAACGGCCACGGCCACGGCCACGGCGTGACCACAAGCCCGGATCTGGAGGGCAGCGGCCACCACGTCCACGCTGACTTTCAGGCTCACTCCCCGTTTCGTTCCTTTATGCTCTTCCTCTCTCTCTCGCTGCATTCGGTTTTTGAGGGCCTTGCTATCGGCCTGCAGAACACAGACTCAAAGGTAAGAAGTTGAAAAGTACCTCAGCTCATGTTACATCTGCTCCAAGTGTTTGTTTGTTTCTCACTCTCCATATTTTTAAAGAAGCCCCCCTGCTTTTCTTTGTTTAATTCATCTCATGCACTTTGTACACATTTGTGGCAGGAAGCTACTTTTCAGAGAAAGTTGGAATTCTATCTGCGGCTCAGTCACGTGTCTGCAAGAAAGTTTCAGTTTGTAGCTTCACAACGCCTTGACAGGAAAAAGAATCACAGAGTCATGAGGATCAGATGTGTTTGTTCTGATCACAAGACAGCCTAAGAATACTGTGAGTGTGACCTCAGGGGTTTTCCTCTGCATATGTTTGTGGCTTTTGTTTGTTCAGCTGGTAGTTTAGTTTACTATCTAGAAAAATAAACTTTAGCCAGTTAAATATTAATTTGATAATCAAATAAAAAACGTATAAAGTGTACCATGCTGTGGATTAAACAACTAATGGATTTAAAGTCAAAATTGCAAACAATGCCATTAGAAAATCGCAAAGGCTGCAATTTAAAGTATAATTTAATCATTGCATACGACACAAGTTTTATGTCAGTGGTTTTATAAATTCATGGCGTCCTCCATACATGACAGTTCTGCTTCTGGTGGTGTTTTTTGTTGCTCAGTCACGTTTACATCTATATTTCATTACACAGTAAATTTTGAACTAAAGATTGAGTTTAAAAATGATACCAGAAATCAAATTACAATATCTGCCAAACAACAGATATCAAACAGATGTTAAAGAACAGACAACACAAATATTTTCTCTAAATCATTTACCTCTACAGTTGGATCAGATGCAGGACAAACAATTGCCCTGACATCACTGTATGAAACCCGAACTGAAAATCTTGTTTTTGCGTACTTGCTGTGATATCATTTCTCAACTTTCTACCGTGATGCAGAAGTGTCCTCAGGATGTGGTAGGGACACATCACGATTGGAAGTGGTTACAAGTGCAAAAGAGCAGCCTGCAGACGAAAGTGTAACAAACCTGGAACTTCTAACCAGATCAGTAAATCACTGATTCCCAGTTTGGTGTTCATTAAATCAGCAGGACAGCCGGCAAGTTCATGTTAGCTGCCGGAGCTGATGAACTGAAGTATGGCACAATGAGCTTTTTTGCTATTTTTTGGATTTATTTGAACCCAAATGTCACTCATATTTATGAATCCGTTACCTGCTGGATGTGGGCAAGACTGATACATGTTCTTTGGCCTTGTAGATTGTTGTTAGATTTTAATATAGATATACCAATCAGAAAGTGCATACATGTTCTTGAAAAGACAGTGAATGGATAAAATAACCAAATACAACTGACTGTTCTTCCTTAATCCATCAAACTGAACATGGGCCTTGTCTTATAATATGTGTCATCACAATGCCAAGTCCTATTAACCCGCTTAAATTCATTTCACCTCTCATCCAAGAGCCTTCATCAGTTCTGATTGATGAGTTGGGAGTTCCAGATACTTAGATCCTTAAGGAGCCATTAACACTTGAGTTCCGATTTTAATGGGGAGTTTGTTGCTCCTCACCCTTGGTGTGTGAGTCGTTAGTGCTCCCCCTGCCACAAAGGGGTTCGTTCAGGTCTTTTGTGGCTAAGTGTGAATGGGTTTCATCTTTCTGGGAAGAGTTCTTAGGACTGAATTGTAAACAGGTGAGAGATGATTCCTCAGACCTCCACCTCTGTTGAGGGATGGTCTTTCCAGTTTGACATAGATGGCTTCTTTCACTCCTCTTTCAAACCATCTGTCCTCCCGGGCCAAAATCTGTACATTATTGTCTTCAAAAAAGTGTCCTTTGTCCTTAAGGTGCAGGTAGACTGCTGAGTCCTGTCCTGAGGAGCTGGCTCTTCTGTGTTGTGCCATACGCTTGTGGAGTGGTTGTTTTGTCTCCCCACTGTACAGGTCTGGGCATTCCTCGCTGCACTGGACTGCGTACACCACGTTGCTCTGTTTATGTCTCAGTGTCTTGTCCTTAGGGTGAACCAACTTCTGTCTCAGGGTGTTCGTGGGTTTGAAGTGCACTGGAATGTTGTGTTTACCAAAAATCCACCTGAGCTTCTCAGAAACTCCTGTTTCTTGGTCTTTTCTTCCCTATCTCCTCTGGGTTTTGTAGAGGATTTGATGAAAGACCAGCTTGGGTAGCCACAGGTTTTGCTTCTGTTCCTCCTCCTTTCCTGCTGTCAAGGAATAATTCGATAATAAGAGGAAGAAAAAAGCATGAAATGTTTTTGTTTCCTCCAGGTATTAGAGATTTGCATCGCCATTCTTGTCCACAAGAGCATCATTGTGTTCAGTCTGTCTGTGAAGTTGGTCCAGAGCGCCGTTCGTCCATTATGGGTCGTCGCCTACATCGGAGTGTTCGCCGTGATGTCACCTTTAGGCATCGCCATCGGCATCAGCGTGGTGGAGGCTCAGCTCACAGCAGGGGCTCTGATCCAGGCCGTCCTGGAGGGGCTCGCCGCAGGGACGTTTGTTTACATTACCTTCCTGGAGATCCTCCCACATGAGCTCAACTCCCCTGGGAGGCAGCTCCTCAAGGCGCTCTTCATCCTGCTGGGCTTCAGCATCATGGCGGCGTTGACGTTTATGGGCTGAGACCTATCGTCATTTCAGCTGTCAGATCTGTCGGGACGCTGCTGTAAGGTTCCGCCGGTATCTGGGTCACGTTCTACCTCATGTTAAAGAGAAGACGAATGAGGTTCACTGTGTTCATTGAGTTTTAAATGTCAAAGGGAGCATGACAATGTGTTTTATTGCTTTCAGTATACTCGTGTAACTTTTAGAATGTTATGATGGAGGAGTCCAGACAATTTTTTATCACTTCCTGTTAAGATGATTTTATGTCAAGAGGAGCCACTGATTACAAAGTTGAATGACTGAGAGGAAAACAGGAGTGAATTCTCCCACATATCACTGACCTTGTTTTGAAACCCACAAACCAAACCGCCTTTCACACTATTAAGGAAACTACTGGAAACAAAGATCGGTGTTGTAAATACATGATACCTTGTCATTATTTCATTCTTGTCAATATATCGGTACCTCCAGATCTTTAATGTTTACATATGAATCATGACAAAGACAGAGGGGAAGTTTGACAGCTTCTTGCTTCCAAAAAGCACTGACTGTGCCTTTTTTTTTTCTTTTTGAAAGATTTTAATTTGCACTGTTTTATCTCAACTATGTATGCCAGCCTTTATAAAGTATTATAAATGGCGCTTCCATTGGCACATGTTCATTAGCGTTTACGGCTCATTACAAATTGGATAATGCTGCATTTCCTACACTTGTCCAGTCCACAAGTGTAAATGTTAAGTGTTTGATGCCTTATTTTGATTGTGGACCAATGCAAAAGTACAACACAAATATCTAACTCTTCATATGTTCTGGTAATATTTTGCTGGACACAGTAAAGCACATCAATTCTCCATCACTTCTTTTGCAGAGAATTGAAGAGTATTTGGGAAAACAATACATTTTAATAAGTATAGTCTTATCTGTGTTTCAGCCTGCTCCCACTCAGAAGGAACTACTGAGTCTTATTTGTGCATGCAGAGCAGTAAACTGTTACGATTCCTGTTTTTGTCCGTCATGTGATGATCAGATTGTTTCCTCATTTTTGGCAAACAGGAAGTAGGAATATACGGTTTGATAAAAGAGAAACTGTCAGCAAATAAGTTGTTACGGTCAATTCAATGTGGGATTTTTCAATGTTTCTACAGCTGCTTTTTTTTTTTTTTTTTCAATAAATGGTCATCTTTTGTTTCCTTAAAACATTAGTGCCGTTTCTGTCTTGTCAGTGTAAATCTTCACAGCATCAACCTGCTGGTACTCTATTGGCTGTGTTTTTGCAATCAGAGCTGCATGTATGACATTGTGCCTTATGGTCACTGGTTTCATGGGAGAGGTGACTTTGTATGTAAAATGAATCAGAGCAAATATATTAAAACACTAAAACTAAGTGCAATTTGCTTGTTTGTGGTTATTTATGAGATCAGTGTGTGATCACTGGAGGTAAAATCTTTAACAGTGTTAGCTCAAACTGAGCGTTTCTAAACTGAATGTGGGTCTGTGGGGGATTCGATGCCACTTGTGGTAGCCGATTATTGGAGCCACTAGGTGGAACTGTTGATCCCCTCACTGAAAACACATCAGCAATGTCTCACACAGTGAAGATTGAAATACAGTTTTAGGAGTATATTTAAATGATATGAAATGAAATGAAAAAAATGAAAAATGCTTTATTTATCCCAGAAGGGAAATTCAATTTAATGTAATTTTAATTTTAATTTAATTTAATTCAAATATGTGTTTAGAAGTGGTAATAAGTCCATTTCAGAATGTGTAACTCTTAAAAGCCTACTCATAGTGAGGTAAACGTATGACTATCTGCCAACTAAATCGTTACCAAACCATTATTTGCTCATGTTAGGGTACCAATAAGTAATTCTCGAAAAATAGATTTTTTTTAAAAATCGGCCTTAAGTAACTTATGAGGAGTCAAATCAGGGTTGTTCCATGATTCTGAGTTTATTGTTAGCCTTTTTATTTCACCACAAACACTCCATTGTTGAAAAAGACCCCACTCACTTTACATTCACAGTAGCTTTTATTTCACATACTTATATAACACTCAGAGTTATTTCTTATTCACAATGTCAGAAGCTTCAAGAGTCATTGTCTATGTCTTCTTCAGACACAACAACATCATGACTGCAGTTTCTGAATGTAATGCCTTTACAGATTCCACAGGTCGAGATGCACGTGACCCCATTCTTCTTTCAGCTGCACCGCCGGTTGCTGCAATCTCCATGACAACTACAGCTAGTCAACTTTAGTCGCCCCTCAGGAGTCATGGGGTCTAGTGTTGGAACTGGCTCATACCCATGCACATCTAATGTCCATCCATAGTCACTGGGGTTCAGAGACATGCTCTGTAGAAGGATCCAGTCCCAGGTCTGCAGGTGGGCACAGAGTGAATGCTGTGCAGCTGCACCCTCTGTTAGAGAGAGAGTCTCTGGTTTGATCACTCTGGCCGCCGCCTTACTTGAGAACATGTTGTACCAAATGAACAAATTGTTAAATTATGTAAATTGTTGCATCTAAAGAGCTGTGAAAAGAAAACAGATGATAAAACAATAGACAAATTTTAAAAAACAACACATTTTTCAGTTTTAAAGAAGAATCACTGTACATCATATTATGTTACTGCAATAATCGAATCAATGACCAATTCATTTATGTACTAACAATAAGAAAATGCATGTACAGAACTAAAACTGGTCAATTTCTTTGCTGCCATACAACATTTAAAGTCTTACATACTCAGTTGTGAGCACTGACCAGCTTCTTTGCAGCTTTGGGAAGCCACTCTAGTTTCCTCACTTAGTTTACCTTTTAAATCCTTAAAATAACGAGAGCTAAGTTTCATGGTGGCCTACTGTCACATACAGAGCTTTGTTCATTTCCCCACTAAGACACTGTAAGTCAAGCTATCTATTGTGGAAACATCTGCCTGATAAAATACTGTTGTATATCAGTAGTTGTCGTGCTGCTGAAGACTCAGAGCCACCTTAATTTCACCTGCAAAGTGCTTTAGATTCGTCCATCTTTTGTTAGTGCCAATACTGAAATCTTTATCATCTTGTATTGCATTAATAAAAAGGTTTTTTTCCCTTCAGAGAACCTTCAAACCACAGATTATATGAATGTTTTATACATTCCAGCAGCAGAACAGTCTAATTCATGATGCCGAGGGACTTATTCTGTATTTGTGTTCATTCAGGCCTGTTTGTTGGCTTTCAGGGTGACATAACTGGCAGGAATTTCCTCACATCAAGGAACTTAACCGTGTCCCCGAGACAAAAACACGTATCCGATGGAGGCCCTGTTAACCCCTGTTTGTCTCTGCAAGCGAATGGGAGGTTATTCACAAACATGCACTAATGAGAGGTGCAGATAGAGGAACAATAGTACAGTAAGTCTGCCAGCTCTGGATGACAGAGGCCTCAGTGTTGGAGGAGGGAGACCCAGTAGAGCATCGAGCTTTAGTGCAGGATGGACGCTTCCTCTGTTTGCCCAACGCTCATTAACCTCTTCTCAGCGATGCCACTCAGCAGTTATACTCCTGTTCTGCTCTCAGACACGATGCAGATTCTGTCCTCAGTATACATAAGGTCTGCTTTTTCCTGCAGCTATGGCATATTTTACTCTTGGGATGCACAATCATACACATCTTGAAGCTAAAATTAAATATTCAAGCCATTGTTCATCATTTAAAATGTTCTAATTACATATAAAGTTATCTGACCGATGCAGAGTTCTATTCAGTTCAGCTGTATTTGTGGAAACACAAGCATTAGATGAAGATATTGATATGAATTTGAAGATAGATGTAGGTGAAGGGAGCAAAACCTGTCTGTTCCCAGCTTTGAAATAATGATAAACTGTTCATTTGTGAGCTTTAGAGATGCTTATGGGCAAATGTGTTCATCCTTGGACAGAACCAGGTATGTTCTTTATACCAAGTTTAAGGATCTGTCTCTTGGCTACAGCTTGACGAACAGATCTTCATTAAATTCTCAGCAAGAAAGTGAATATTTGAACTTTACACAATGTCAAAATATATTTCTAAAATGCCTTTTGTCATCAGTTTCCTGACTGATGAAGAATGGAACAGCATGTTCTGTTGCCTCTGACTCAATATTTAATAAAACCAGATTGTTGTAAATCTTCATAAGCATATTGATGCACAAGAGAAAACAGAGCACAGCTGCAAAATCCTTTATAAAACTAACAATGTTGTAAAATGGTCAAAATAAAATGTCAAACTGTAACCTTCACACATCAATTTAAAGAAGACAAAAATGTCCTTGTTATAAAAAAAGCCAGAAAAATATTATATATTAATATTACTTTTCACTTTCACTGAGTTATAGATGTTTCAACCAACATCATTCCTGATCACAACTACCAAATATTCATTGACTTTCAGGATTTTTACACTTTAAAATGTAGTTTTTCATGATGTCACTCTTGTTTTTTAAATGAAGAAGAATAAAAAAGTTGGTTTTCCATTAAATAAGCAGTCAGTGGAATTTTTTTTGTCTGTGTGTAAATCACACTTTGGGATATGTCACTGATTAGACACTGAGTATGATGCAGATAATTATTATTTTTTTTATTGTGCAGCAAAAAGCTCAAAAATGTCCCTATGGTTCTGGAAAGATAAAGCCAAAGTGATTTGTTTCTAGTAACGGGAGAGATGATCTACCTGTAGAAACAAGGCAGGTTTGAGAAAATTTCATACTTTTATTAGAGATAAATGATAATGAAAGGTGTGAGACAGGCAGACAAAAGAAGCATGTGTAGAAGCAAAACAGACAGAAGGATGACGTTGACAAAAACAACATAACAAAGAACATGACAGTGTGGCAGAAGATTTGGGGAACAGAGAGCTGAAATATTTACTGGGGGGTTGTTAGTAAATGGAAAACAGGTGAATGTTGAAATCAGGACTCATGATTAAGGACTGAGAAGCAGCTGAGCAGCTGAGGGGGGAAAGACATGTGACTGAAACAGGGAGGGAAGTCTGAGGACATCTAGTGGACAGAAGAAGAGCAACAGAAGGAGAAAAATGGACAGGCCTTGGACAAGAAACATGACAGAAACCAAATGTAATAAAAGGAAACAGCATCTAAAAAAACATGACTTCATGTGTGTACATCTGTAGCCATGATGACGGCTCTTTGGGTGGGAAACGTTGGTTATTTATTATACCTTCGCCCTAAGTTGGGATAGGCTCCAGCCCCCTCCCCCAGGGCTGCAAGGTGGGCAGTGGTTAGCACCATGGCCTCGCAGCAAGAAGGTCGCAGGTTCGCGTCCCGGTGAGGACACCATAATCTTTCTGCGTGGAGTTTCCATGTTCTACCCGTGCAGCATGGGTTCTCTCCAGGTTCTCTTCTTCCTCCCACAGTCCAAAAACATGTTGAGGTGAATTAGTGATTCTAAATTGTCCGTAGGTGTGAATGTGAGTGTGCTTGGTTGTCTGTCTCTACGTGTGGCCCTGTGATAGACTGGTGACTGGTCCAGAGTGTCTCCTGCCTTCACCCTGAGTCAGCTGGGATAGGCTCCAGACCCTAGTGAGGATTAAACGGTGTATAGATAATGGATGGATGAATGAAGTCAGGGCAATTGTTTATCCTGCATCTGATCCAACTGTAGATGGTGGATGGATTGGACTGTGGACTGTGGATGGATCTGCAGTATTTCGTGATCATGTGCAATATTTCGATTTCATATTCAGTTTTTGATTATTATGTGTGATGTAACTTTACCCACTCAGAATCATTTCCATTATTATTTATGACTTTTTCTATTCTAGTCTTGTTTTAGTTTACTTATTTCTATTTCCAGTAATGTACTAAAACCTTATTGCTTTCTACTAGACACTGCATTTATTCTCATGTTAGGTTATAATATTTTCTGACCAATATCTGGCAAAAAAAACACAACAACAAACATCCTTCCAGAATAATACAGCTCTATCTTACCCTGTCCTGTCCTGTCTTATCTAATCTATCATTTCCTGATTAGCATTAAATATAAGGTACAGATGTGGTTGAGTGGAATTTCATGATCTAAAATTGTTTGTCTTGACCTAAAGAGTTGTTCCATTTCATCCTGAGATGAACACGGATGTCGGCATCAAATTTCATGGCAATCCCTCTGACTAATGTTGAAATATTTTGCTTAAATTCACAAATGTCAACCATAAGGTGGCACCAAAGTCAGATGGATTCATCCTCTGAGGAACATGACTGTCTGTACTAAATGTTAGTCCAACCATCAGCTGGTTAGATATTTACTGGAACAACCAAATGACTTAAACTCCGATTAGAAGTGCATGTTTCAGCCTAAGAATGTACATTTCTGAATCACAAATATCACCACGATGAATAATAATTAAAAGCAATTACAAGACAAACCCCACAGTTTCCAAATAATAAAAGCAAACCGCTGATTCTCAGTTACTATAATTAACGACTGGCACGAAAAGAGAGGGAGGTCTGTGTGATGTTGTGCAATCATGGATAAGTAATCCATAATCTGACACCCAAAACAAGTGGTCTCCTCTGAGGAGGATTTCAAAGAATGTGCAGGAAGGAATGTTTAAAGTGAAGCAGAAAGAGCCGCTGCTGCTTTAGAGGTGGTCGACTCGCTCATATGACATTTCCACGCGAGTATCGAGCTGAAATTCCACCTTTCATGTCGCATGTGGTGGGTTGACATCCAGACTGACCCTGGGCCGTGAGACACAGCAGTGAGAAAATAACACACAAAGTCTCACACAATATGATGTGACATTTGGGAGGTAACACATGAAAACCTTAAACACTGACGCTGTGTGTTGTGGACCATTCAGTTTGAAGCGTGTGTGTTCTTGTTGACCATCAGTTCAGACTACGGTGGCCTAGATGTACCAAACTGGACAAAACTGGACAAAACACAACAGTTTGTTTTGCTTATGTGCTTCGTAACTGTTTAAATGTGGGTCAGTCCATCTGATATCATTACATTTTCAAACCAATTTCGGCTCAAACTTCTCTAATTTGCCCTAAATTTTCTATAATATATAATATGGAGGCTGCAAGGTGGAGCAGTGGTTATCACTGTTGCCTCGCATTAAGCAGTTTGTCAGTTTGTGTCCTGGTGAGGACACCCAGGACCTTTCTGCGTGGAGTTTGCATGTTCTCCCCGTGCAGCGTGGGTTCTCTCCGGGTTCTCCGACTTCTTCCCCTAAGGTCCAAAAACATGTTGAGGTGAATTGGTGATTCTAAATTGTCCGTAGGTGTGAATGTGAGTGTGCTTGGTTGTCTGTCTCTAAGTGTAGCCCTGTGATAGACTGGTGACCTGTCCAGGGTGTCCCCTGCCTTCACCCTAAGTCAGCTGGGATAGACTGATTCTGATTCTGATTCATGAAATGTTGAGGCTGTCTTACATCCGATGAGGTACGTTAAAATGATATACTTTCATGAAAAGCCACTTTTTCTGTATGGTCAGTTGGATTTCTAATATTCTGTTAGTTTTGGAAACCCATCGCAATGTTGTTGTGTTTTGCCCCCATAGAACCATCCCAGAATGACAGCCCAGCCCCTCTCCTCCTCCGTCCAGCTCCGCCTCCACTTCACAGTTTGCACTACGTAGATTAGCCACTGGTAGTAATCCACTGTGTCATTTTAATCCTACTTTGACTGACGTTTGTGTGGCTCCTCCCCTCCCAGTCCTTTCTGCCCCTGTGTGCTCCTCTGCCACTCTCTGTTGCCCTCTCATCCTGTCTGCTCAAGGTAAGGCTGCTCTGCTCCTCAGATCAAACAAACCAGAGATACATCAGGTGGCGGGTATGTAAACATTATCAGTGTAATGGTGTTAGTCAGTGTGGTGATTACAGGCCACCAACAAAGTAACCAAGCCCTCTTTTGATTGGACGTTGAATGACATAAATCTGTGTTCACTCTAATGAATGAATGCATTGTAAAATGTAAATTCAGTGTTTTTGCAATTTATGTTTAGCTCATGCTAATGTTTCCTGTTTAGTATTTGATTTACATTTTTGCCTGGAGAGATGCTGTAGAGCATCTGTACCAAGATTCTCAGTTGGATGACTTTTAAGCAGCTAATATCAACACCAATATTTGACTTTATTTTACACTAAATTAACGCTATTTGGCCAAATAGATGCTGTAAGGTTGTTATTATTTTAAAGAACAATTTCAATGAGATTGCAATCCAATATAATATTACCACAAAGGTAAGCATCTAGTTTCAGGTTTATGTAACTGCTACACAGAAGGTACTTACAGAATGTCTTCTAAATGCTTGGATGTAAAAAATATTTGGTTTCTTCACAATAAATATTTTTATATACATTAAAAAAAAAAAAACTTATGTTGCACATCTGTTGCCAAATCCAAACAGCGACATATCTCCTTGTTAATATATATTACAAAAAATAACTTAAAAAGAGTTTAAAAATATGTAGGATGTGTAATATTATAAGAAATAATCATAAAAATTGTGTTTTATGTCCTTTCTTGCTGCTTGGATTTAAAAACAGTTGCCACTTGAAAAATGGGTTACATTTATTTTTCCTTTTCTGTGAAGTAGGTGTTCAGAGATCACTAGATATTTATTTAGCAGAAAAAGTGGATGCTTAGCTCTGTGACTCAGATCTACTCTATTGTATCAGCCCATTATGTAAGAGGATGTCTGCTTCAGCAACAAGGAAAAGAACCAACATTTGGACTTCACTGAACCAAAATAAAATATGTCCTCCTCTCCCTGTTTTTACTTATGTGGTTCCTTTATGTACATTGGTTATGTAACGCATCAAGAACTGGACTGATTCTTGATCTTGTGACTTTTTCTTTAACAAACTCAAACAAAGTCACAGAAAGACTCTTTACGGTTTGTTGTGCTCATGTTCTGTTTGTGCCAATTCTTCTGTCTTCACAGTGGTGGCTGCTGTGAGACGCTGCAACCATGGCTGCTGTAAGTTTAATTTATGTGCAACAACTCACAGAAAGCACTCGAGTGTCACTTTGTCTCTGTTTATGCTGCTTCAGTCAGCATCTGGCCCCAGCTCAGGGTTCAGTTAAATATCTTGGGTTTGGGTGAAAAAGCTCTTGCTGCTTTGACTGTCAGCGCATGATGCCGCTTAGGGCTGTTATTGTGCCAGTAGATGCTGGCACTGGGATGGAACCTTAAGCTGTTTTTAAGAAGTGGCTTTAGAAGTCCTTTTACCTAATCATGTGAAGCAGATTAGCCGGATGCTCGCCAGTGTGCATCGTTTTGGTTCTGCTCCGGCTCACATGTGTTGCAGGTTCTTCTGTGTGTGTGTGTGTGTGGTTTATTTGTAGAAACACTTAAGGTCAATGCAACGAACTGCAGCTGAAGCATGTACAGGAGTGATGCACTTTTGTTGTTTAAAAACCAAAGCTGCTGTTAAATACAAAGAGGATTTCAACCAAATGACTATGTTAATATGTGGCAGTACACCCAAGAAACAGGAGGAAAATGTGACTGATAATAACCTGCATTCATGCTTGTGCAGACTGGAACTTTCCGTATGGTGTCAGAGGAGGAGCAGGCCATGAGGGCAAAGCTGGAGCATTTGACAGTGAAGGATCATGGGCCGGTGTTTGGGCCGTGCCACAAACTGCCTGGACACACTGTGCAGAAGGTAAAATAGCAACAACATAGCAGAAATATTCATTCTGTCACTGGTGGCCTCATATGTTCCCTGTGCAGAAGATGTTGTAACAAGTTTCATGTGTTTTTTTTTCGCAGGCAAAGGATGAGCTGAATGAAACAGATGAGAGACGGGTGTCGTCACTGAAGGACCTGAGGACCATGATGAAGGACAGGGCAGCGGAGGGAGACGATCTGGCCAAACTGGTGCTGGAGCGCTTCGGGGACACACCGGACTCCCTGCTGCTGCGCTTCCTCAGAGCCCGAAAGTTTGACATCGTCAGAGCCCACGAGCTCCTGAAAGGTGAATCAGCCACCTATGAATCCACACAACTTCATATTTCAGAGATCATGTTATTTTTTTGGTGCACATTATTAAAACACCCATATGCTTTCTGCAGACATTTTCTGACTCTGCAGATATTTTCCATCAGTAATTGAGGGTGAGACCTCTTTTGTGCTCTGTATTTGCATGAGTTCTGTCCATCTATGAGACAGAGAGGCATGTGTTCATTAATTGGGGGCTTTGAGATGCCTCTGAGTTTTCCCCTGACAAAGCCCTCCTTTGTGTCCAAATGGGACAGCAAGTTTGCCTTACTAGTGAGCCCTCGGGGCTCTGATGGGAACTCCACCTTGCCTTGTGCTCACTCTGTTGGGAGAGGAGATGAGATATGTATTTGTTATGTTTTTGTCTTCTTGATGAGAAAAATGCAAAGTAAAATCATGTTTACTTGCTACAACCCTGCAACTGTAACCAACACTCCACTAAATTAAACCCTGAGCTGACCTTTAACCCTAAACTTGATAAACTTTCAAGTGTCGCTGTGATTGTGAATGCAATCCCAGCAAACCTCAGCTTCACAAGTAATATGTGCACAGTACAAAGCTGATTTTCTTCCCCACTTTTTGCTTTTGTTTGATTATTTGGTTCTCACAAAGACAGAAACTTGTTAGAGTGAGTAGGGGGTGTGATGTGAACTTGCTCTGTAGGGTTAATTGCTGAATACATGCACACACACACACACACACGCAGATGGACTCACACATTTACTGTGGGTTAATTGGTGCCTCGGCATGAAGAGGCTGCACTGTAACTGCACTAAGACAGTGGAGTCATTGTGTTTGACCTGCAGCGAGCAGCTACGTTCAACACACAGAAGGTTTGTGAAGCACTTCTAGAGAATGTGGCTGATATTTTTAGTTGAATGTGTGTTTCCTTTTAGGTTACGTGCGCTTCAGGAAGGAGTATCCGGAGCTGTTTGAGAACCTGACCCCCGAGGCGGTCCGCAGCACCATCGAGGCCGGTTACCCCGTGGTTCTCCCCAGCAGGGACCGGTTCGGCCGCGTGGTGCTGCTCTTCAACATCGACACCTGGGACCTGGAGGAGATCACCTTTGACGAGGTAGTTGCACCCCTTAGACATGCATACAACCTGAAACCTTTCAGAACTCACTCAGCATCACGTGTTTGTGTTTGTGTAACAGATCTTGAGAGCATACTGTGTGATCCTGGAGAAGCTGCTTGAGAATGAAGAGACCCAGATTAATGGCTTTGTCCTGATCGAGAACTTCCGAGGCTTCACCATGCAGCACGCCTCGGGGATAAAGCCGGCTGAGCTCAAAAAGATGGTGGACATGCTGCAGGTCAGGATCTGTGAGTTTCTTCATGTATAGGCTCAGAGCTTCCCTTTTTTTTTAAAGATCTGTGTGTTTTCCTGCAGGACTCCTTCCCGGCCCGTTTCAAGGCGGTCCACGTCACCCACCAGCCCTGGTACTTCACCACCACATACAACGTGGTCAAACCCTTCATGAAGAGCAAACTGCTGGAGAGGGTACGAACAGAAACGTACCGTCATCTCTGATCTCAATCTGATCAACCTCGATCTCATCTCCTCTGTTCTTAACTCTCCTCAGGTCTTCATTCACGGCGACGAGCTCGACAACTACCTCAAAGAATTCGATGCAGATCTCCTACCTGCGGATTTCGATGGAAAAGGCCCCGTGTCTGACTATCAAACCATCGCCAACAAGGTCTTTGGCTCTGAAGACACTGCTCTCTGAAAGAACTATTCAAGCCCAAGAATAGAGTCCTCCACCTGAGATGCTTCTTGTGTGATCAGATCAGATACGTGGTCTATTTTGGAGCTAGGTTGTTTTTTATTGTTATTACTCAAGGAAAAAAAAAAGTATCTAGAGTTAGAAGCAGGGGATGGTTTGCAAATGAGAAATGTGGTACAAAAGGAAAAGAAAAAGGAAGTTTAGATATCACAGAGAGAATAACTGATAGTTAACATTTGTTACTTTGCAGCACTGACATTCCTTGCTATTGCATGAGCGGATCAAGAATGAGAGAGTTGGTTATGTGACGATGTAGATCACAACAAGTTTCTTTGCCCTAAAAAAAAAAATCACAAGAACAGGCTCATGCCTAAAACCCTGTCAGACGAATTAAGTCGCTGCAGATTCTGTGTATTACGAGGGTGAATTTTAGGTTTGCGTGCAGAGAGAAAACCGATGAGGGAAAAGCCTGCATTAGAGTATTGTTTAAGGAGCGAGGTCCTCCTGATGCAGTGCCTTGGAAACCGTCTCCACAGCCTTCTTTTCAGATCTGACAGCATCACAGAGCTGTGATACTCAGATGCCTGAAGTAACATTAGCATCCATTGTGAAGTTTTGTGTTGGGTCGGGAAATGTTCAATAAAATAGATGTTTTTGTGTGTGCGTGTCTGTGGTTTTATATGAATTGCCATTTTTGTCATTTGCCCACCTGTTCTTCCATTTACCTGAGAGCAGGATTATCAGATAAACCAGGCTTACTTCATAAGTATTTGCAGCTAATTCTGCTTCGGAAAGGAGGAGTCTAACCTAAGTTGCCATGGAAACCTATCCCCTTCGGACTCCCCGTCTTCTTCAAGGTAGTTTTCAGGCTTAGCAGCTACCTCAGGCTGATCTGTGAACGAGTCAGTTTGTCGTTCATGTCAGACAAAACACAAGTTGACATGAGCTGCATATACTGAAGTTAACATCTGAGCTCATATGTTTTTCTTGTTCTGCACATTATTCCAGTATATAAATATGCTGCATTTAAAACAAAACTAAGAAACAATTGAGACGTCCATAAAATAAAATAAAAAAAGAAATAAATAAAAGGAGTAATCATCCAATTTAAAGATACTTAAAGAACCATCCATCCATTATCTATACATCGCTTAATCCTCACTAGGGTCGCGGGGGGGCTGGAGCCTATCCCAGCTGACTTAGGGCAAAGGCAGGGGACACCCTGGACAGGTCACCAGTCTATCACAGGGNAGTCTATCACAGGGCTACACTTAGAGACAGACAACCAAGCACACTCACATTCACACCTACGGATAATTTAGAATCACCAACTAACCTCAACATGTTTTTGGACTGTGTGGGAGGAAGCCGGAGAACCCGGAGAGAACCCACGCTGCACGGGGAGAACATGCGAACACGCAGAAAGATTCCGGTGCTCCCCACTGGGACGCAAACCGGCAACCTTCTTGCTGCGAGGCAACAGTGCTAGCTAACTGCACCACCCTGCAGCCCTACTTAAAGAACCCTCTGGTGAAAATCAAGTTTTTAAAAAAAATCTTGTTGAAATGTTAATATGGTGTGTTTTTATATTCTAGACAACAATTTATGAACAAAATAACCGGTCAATGCCACATCACAGCATTTCCACCTAAAAATAAAAAATAAAACTACAGATTACAGTCTCAAAAACACAGATTCAGACTTCCAGGATTTCATACATAACAAACCTAAAGAACCAATCCTGTCAACTTGCAGGGCAGGACTTACTGTATCATTATTCTCCTCAGAATCCCATTCAAACATGAGTCTGAATTACTTGAATGCAACAACTGGACATTGTGTAGCGTAGAGTAGTTAGAGTTGAAAGAAAGGTGGGACTTTATTCATCTGCATATTCTGGAGAAAACAACAATGTAAAGTCATTCTAAGTTGAGAAAAAAAACTAATATCAGAGATAAGCTTTCATGTGTTAAATCAATGATGCTAGAGGGGTTTAAAACTATATTGTGGAGGATGTAATGTCATGTGTCAAACCCAAGAAGCTAAACAAGTGTAGGGGGAAATATAAAGGACTTCAATGCTGCCACCACAAGGGGGCCTAACTGTCCACGTCATGATAATCCCATTGTTCAATCGCATTATTTTTGTCCTTGTTTGACATAAACTTGACATTAAGCTTCTTCTTTTACAACATTAGTAGTCTAATTGTCATAGTAAAGTGAAAAGAAAACACTTTTTTTTTCATTTGAGAAAATAATTTATTTTGGAACACAATAACCATGTTTCCTCACATAACTGGATCACACACACCACTGGTTTCCTTCAACAACAAAAAAAACACCCAGTGTTCGGTATCTGAGTACATCACGTTACGTGCCCCGTCTAGTCGTCACCACACCCCTTAACCTTCCCTCTGCAAGTTTGTAAACACAAAATTAAAGCTGTGTAATGATTGCTGTATGTTAACACACTGTGGGCTCCTGTCCACTTGCTTGGATGTGCAGATAGGTGATGATTTTAAAAGATAAACGTTCTTACCGAGATGTGGTTTTTTTTGGATTTATTGAGATTTCAAGTTACTGGGAATGTTTGAATTCTTCAGTTTCCAAGCAATTAAACACGAGCCCACAATCTTGATGATTGAAGCACTGGGGTTAGCATAAATACACAAGAGCACATTCTCATATCAATACAGTAAAACAACATTTCAGATCGCACACTCCATGAGGAAATTATCTTTATGTGTAGGACATGTTTTGGTCTAATATACCTTGACACCATTTCCAGTCACATTAGTGTTGAAATAATTAAAGAATCCCTCCTGGTTGGTTATTGCCTTTACTTTTTTCCATCCCTGGTCCCTCAAATATTTGAATATACACTATCTTTATATATCTATTTTGCTTTTTCATTGTTAAAGTGAACAAGTTTTGGTTTTTGTAGATCAGAGGTGGTGATATGACAGTATGCATCTACTGCATGTTCACTCATCAACACACGCTCTGCTGCATTTGCACAAGCAAACAAAACAAGAAAGTCATAACAACAATACAAAATACAAAAACAAAAATACCCAAAAATAATTAACTAGAAAATATAATACATCCAAATCTGCATTTTCGTGCAAAGTTGGGGAGAGGCAAAAAAACACAACCTTAAAAACACAAATGGCTCCTACTGCAGAAACTGGGTTTGTGCTGGTGTCACCGATAGTCTTTACATTTTTCCACGAGCAAGAAAAAACTTAAACCACACCTGATTATTTTTAAAAAATGAGAGCTGTGGACAGGGTGAACCATGAACCATATAATCTGACTGCGGGTGGATGAAAGGATGTTCGCCACGAATGACTGGCAGTTGTAGTTACGTCTCCCCTCACGACTGATGAAAACAGCGATTTGTGGTTTGAACAATGCTGGATGACGGCAAAGAAAGAGGGTGAAACACGTTATTAAGTGGGTCGGATATCAGTCGGGAGGTCACGGATCCACAGTACGTACAGTTTCATCGTCAATGCTGTAATAAAATGTGGTGTTTTCACTTTCAGATTCACTAATTCAGTCATGGCAGGCTGATGTCACAGCAGGTCCTCGTCTCTTTTTTTTTCCTTCCAGTGTGTAAAAATGATTTCAAAGAGCTCCACGCAGCGGAGCGGGCAGATTTCACAGGAGGTGAAAAGAAGGCATTGATATCAAACTGGTGCTTGGTATTTGGCAGATGCCCTGAGTTGAAGGAGATAGTGTTGGATCAGTGATTCCCCCTTTTTCTTAAATAGCCAAGCCAGCATTGAGGAGATTAATACCTGGATTTTACAGTATTTGCTCTCCTCTAATTTCAGCCAATTACACATGAAAAAAAGCAATGGATCTTTCTAAATTTGGAACAACAGCAGTGAACTGAATCACCATTACAATACTACTACTGAACGAACTTTAATGCTCAGGATATTTATTCTTAAGGCATAATGACGGATGTTTTCTAGGTTCCTCAAGTAGCATTGACATATGATTCTAATAACTGAATATATTTTTACATTCTGCATTCCTCTACTGATTTGCAGTGTGTACCTTTATATATTGCTCTTCCAATTAAAAAAGAAAACAACCACTACTTCGATATACAAATACGATCACCCAGGTATTATAAACACACAAGTCTTGGCCGAAACAGCTCAACAAAACGCACTGTTGTCGATCACTTTCAAACCACCCACGTGTCTCATCACAGTGTTCAGTAGCAGGTTTTAGAGCACAGATTTCTTGGCTGGACTTTGCCTGGGAAAAAGCTTCCTAAGCCCTTACAGCAAGGTTTAAAACAAGTTCTAAATTTGATTCAGGTTTTCAAAAGTCCACAGGTCCCAGTATTGCAGTATGATTTCATCCAGAACAGGTTTGTGGTGATCTTTCATTGCAGTTTTTTGCTGCTGTGTTGCAACACTTTCCACGCTTAGCCAGTCAATACAGTCTTCGAAACAAAAATATTCTCTAGAATTAAAATCCGTCTTCTCTTGCATGCCGCATTCTCCATCGAATTATACAATATAACAATCACCGGTATTTCTTTTTTTTTTTTTTTTTTTTAAACAAACAATCCACTAAAATAAACGTTAGAGTTAGCTTTGGTATCTTTAGCCCTCCTACTCATCATACCTCACAGCTCAGAATACATATATATATATAAAAAAAGCTTAAAATATGCTTTGCATTGCTAAACTGTCCCTTTAATAGCACCACATGGGCCAATCAGTGGACTGCATTTTCAACATTTCAAAACCACAGGATCGTCTGGAGGAAAATGCAAAACTGTACTAAGATGTTAGAACCACATGAGGTGGGTTGAGCGTTAGCCTCTGTGCCGTAAGAGAAGGATATCTTGGCTGGAACTGCAGCTGATCAAAGGCAGAAGAAAGAGTAAGAGGGCTCAAAGACACTGACAACACACGACACGGGGAACGTTTGAGTCATCTAACTTTTCGTTATCATCCTTGCTCCCTCTAGTTTTTCTCTTGCTGTCACACAGAGAGCTAAACCATTAATAATTTCCATACCTGCACTTTTGACTAATGAGAAAACAAAAAGGGGAAAAGAAAAAAGATTGTGGCGTACAGGGTGTAAAGTGCTTTGAATCAAAGTGATAGTATGCGACCGTGGGAATGTGCACAGATCCCATCTGGGGTTGATCCCGGGTCATGTCTGGTAAGCACTGAACACTTTTCATTTCAAGCGCCAAACAAAAGTGCCAGGAGGATGTTATGAGCTGGAAATAACATGTAAGATCCCACCGTAATACTTAATTTTTCTACTGTACATTTTCTATAAACAACAGAGCAACAATTCACCCAAAAGAACAGACATTATAAGGGCCAGTAGACTATGAACAGAGAATCCGGATCACACCAACCGAACACGAGGACCACACACTCCGTCGTGGGTCTTTAACTCTCGGTGTAGACAGGCGCACACTGACATACTCACTACATCAGTGAGCAACACACATTCACACATACATTCACACATACATACAGACATACAAACTACAAAGATGCTGTGTTGGTTAAGACAGCAGACTAGGCTTTATGGCCTTGGCGGTGATAAGCAGTGAGCTTCTTACAGGTGCTGTAAATGGGCACCGACTGCAGCACGGTCTGTAATAGGAGGCTTCTTGTGTGCTTTTGTTTCTCACTGGACTACTCTAAAGTGGTGGTCTCTCTTTCCTGTAAATGCCAACTTGACTTAATGTCTGGTCATATTTGGTCAACGCCTCCTTTAGCCAAGTGTCATTATTGTGTAGATGTCGAGAAACAAAATGTTCCTGCTCTGAGTCCTCGCAGCGGAAAAGAGCACAAAGGCAGTTAGTTACTTTTCACATACTGTAAGGTGATGGTGATTACAAAGGGGGGAGGAGGGAAGGGGGGGAAACTGTGAAGGCGTATGACCGGGAAGTGTGGGTCGGTAGTGGTGATTAGCACCGCAGGAGAAGGCAGAGAAGAGAGAGCAGTTTAAGGTGTCTCCTCAGTGCAGTGTGGGGAACGTGATGTTGGAGAGGGTGTGAAAGGAAAGAGAACGAATGAGAAAGTTACACAGTTTTATGCTTTTTCTTCTACGCAGGAGCCCTCACTCAGGTGGCCGCTTTGGCACGGTGGTTTCTGTTTCTCCCACTGGCAAATGGCGTTGGCGTATCCCACAATCACTTTGTCCATCCAGGTGAGGGGCTGGGGGAAGAGCACGGCACCCTCAAAGAAGCCCAGGTGGCCTCCGTGAAGCGTCAGGGCAAAGATCACATTCTGCTTCTTTGCTAAAGGAGGAAAGAGTAGACAGCAATTAGGCTTCTGTACTCTGCACAGCGTGTCGTCGTCGTTTGAACACCAACGCTGGACACATGCCCAAACATGGGCTTTCCAGGAATTATTTCATGCCTGTACGAGATAGTGAGGGTGTGTTTGCATGGTCAGAAAGATAACAGTATGACTACACTGAATCAATAGGTTTCTAAAGATGCAGTGTGATGCACTAGAAAAACACACACGTCAGTAAAAGAAGCTTTTCTTCTTCTCTTTTGCAACTGGGAGGTGATTTTGAAAACTATATAAACACACTGATATAGGCGTGCCTCGACTGGCAGGTCTCACTGGATGACAAACTCGACTGTTGGAACTATATGGCCAAAAGTACGTGGACACGCCTGTCTTTGCCGTTGTGCACCCAGACAAATGTTTTTTGTTTTTTTTTACTTGGCTGTGGAAGAACTTGACTGATCTGCAAATAGCCCTTATGTCAGCTCTATCACACATCTTTCTGCCATACACCAGGGCTCATCAATGCTTCTATGGCTAAACACAGGCTTACCCCTGCTGCAACATTAATGTGCTAAAGCACCATATTATTGTTCATGCTTTTTGGGGTGAGATATTTAAGAAAATCAGGATCCACTTCACTGTGCTGCCACACAGAACCCTAAATATACATTACAGCATTGTTGTGACATTTGATGCATTAAAGCACCAAAGTTTACAAAGAGCAGAAACCCAGACAGTCAACATATAAACCTATATATAATAAATAGATACAAGCAGATATAGAAGAGGGAGTAAATTATTGCACAGCTGTAGCATGGTAGCAATGAAACAATAAAACATTTAAAACAAATAAAGCACAATTTTAAAGCACCAGCATGTTCAAAAAAGCAGAAACAAACATGTTTACAGGCTTAAAAGGGCTTAAAAACTGTATTAAGGCCTAAATTATGCACATTTATGGGCGTGGCCACTTTGAGACGCTCTGCTGTCAAGCTACTGTCAATGTCTTGCACATGCTTCTGTAGTACTAAATGAAGTGAGACAATAAACATTGCGCAACTGCTGTTTAAAATCTTGATCAGTTTAATTTTACTTTACACTTGAGAACTCTAAACTGTCGTCCAGATGTCAAAGCTCATATTCAGAGTGCAGGACGAGAGTCAGATCATTCTCTATTGTCTGTGTCATTCTAAACACAGACGTCACTGCAGTGAACGCTGTTCTCTCTTTGCCATAACCTTCCCTGCAGTCTGAACAAGGTGACTCAGCTCAGATTCTTGTCAGGGTGTAATGTTTAGATGTCCACATACTTTTCCAACTGATGTAATCGTCACACTTGACAACCTACACACCGGGCTTTAAAGCTCCAATAAAGAGACCTATGCTTGATGAGCAATGCTACATCTGTGCTCTCTACACAAGAAAACGTAGTGAATCCATTCATACCAATTTTCCATCATTCACAATGAATAAATGTTGAAATTCAAAGTAGGTCATCTCCACACAGCTGACAAAACATTAATCTCATTGTGACAGCTGTATGAACCTCTGGAGCGCTGCAGCTGTGGACGACCAGAGCAAAGTGTTCTCATGAAAAGGACTGGCCTGGATCTTTTCATTCTCCTGTTCTTATCTGGGTTAGTGGGGGAGCATGATTTGCCTGACTAGCGATTAAGATCCCAGAGGGCTTTCACCGCTGTGCACTATTCACGACAGTCGCTGAGCTGCCCTCGAACAACTGAGTGCTTGAGCAGACCCTGGAGCCACTGCCTCAGCAGGGTGCTGAGTGACAGGTGGGAACAAAATGATCTAAAAAAACACCTCGTAAGTTAAAAAAAGACACTGAAGCTGAAGATCTGAATACTGGGGCACTTCATGCACTGTGACCTGACTGAAACAAAATACTGCTTCAAGATTTGACTTTGTTTCACTGTATTAGAAAAACAAGAAACAATAACCTCACGTTAGGAAGAGGGTTAGCTTTCCTCGTTTAAGTATTCTTACGTTATGTAACATGATTGACTTCATAGTAAGCTGTGCACTCCTATCAAGCATTTTTAACCCAAGCTAATTCGAGCATCAACACACAGCGCGTGTCTTTCTGTTGGGTCCTTTGCCAGTAGCTGCCTGTCTGAGTCACTGTATCACATTTTAGACCAAAGGGGCAGCTGATCCACTTTCTGTAAGTGTTGCTCTCCAGAGTCATATATGTAGGATAGAGTGGCACGTACTTCCAGTCAGAACCCACTCACCCTCTCACACACACCCTTGCCTGAGGAATTTTCCTTTTCCAAAACAGTTGAAGTGGTAAGTAAGTTTAAATATAGCACAGGCTGAGGAAAAGGAAGGCTTGATAGACACTACGTAATGTGCAGTCAGTCTGAGTGACTGCCTTTTTATGTTAGGTAAAAATGAGGTTCAGACTTTGTACTCAACCTATTTCCGGGGTAAGATTGGTTTTAGGAACCTGTGATGGAGTAAAACTCACTTTAAACAGACAGAGGGACACTTATACTTGTAGGTGAGTGTTACAGCTGCTGCAGCAGACCAGAAAACATTACTCATAGACCTGAACTCTGCCCCGCCCTGCCCCGGTCAGGGTGCGGAGACAACTCATCAGAGGGCCTTTTTGCAGACGTGGTTTTTGAGAACCAGCGTTGAGATTCAACTGCAGCAGTTAGTCAGACAGGACAAGCCTGCTGTATTAATCCCCAGATTACAGGGAACAGTGAATGATTGCTACAATCTGTTTGCAGGTGCATGTACTAATTAAAAATGTTATCTCTAATTCTGAAGATTTTGTCTGTTGCAACAAATATTCAGCATAACATCTTTATTTTCATTACTTTTCCACGTGTCAGTATAATCCAGCATCAGCTTATTAAATGACCATACACAGTGTAAGACTTGTACTGCTTTTTTGCACCTTCCTTTTCTTTGTTTGCAACCGATTTAGCTCTTTTTAAGCACTTTCTCCCCTTTTTTTTCTTCACTTTTTATCAATGAAAGCATGTTGTGAGCTGATATTGCCAAAAGACGACTCATTTTACTCTGAAGTTTACTGAACAGCATATTCAGAAGTACCATCTCTCTATGTGAAAAACAGTTTAAAACAAACCGGTCTATCAGGATATTATTCATTTTTGCCGGTTTTAAACTAACACACATATTTCGGGTGTCTTCCTTCAGGTCATTAGTTTGGCTCTTGGATTGTTTTTTGACAACAAATGTAATCAAAGATTGACAACAATAAGCCTACTGCCACACTCACAACTTGCCCACGCAAATAAAAGATCATAAGAAGCTCAAAAGTGTGACTTAAGGTTGCTAAAGTGAACCTGGTGTGCTGCTGTTGTCATATAACATGCTGGTTATTACCTGATAGTGTGCGAGGGATGGTGAGCAGTGAGTCATGAACCAGAGGATCATCTGCAGAGTTTACTAGCAGCAGTGGTACATTTACCTGGAAACATAAGAATAACATTTCATACATCAAACATGTACACAAACAGACCAAAGACAGAAACATTATTTGAGAAGGTGTGAGGTGCAAGTGAGAGCAGTTCTTACATTGTGAATATAATGTACACAACTCTCCTTCTCATAGTACTCTTTGAGAGAACTGTGGCCATGGAATTTTCTGTTGAAGCCCCCCGAATAAAGCAGCGTCGATTACAATCGAAGAAGAAAAGTTCAGCAGAAATGACAAGAAAATCTTAGTTACTGCAGAATCTCGATATTTACAAATGGGTTAACATTATTTTAAGTAACAAGTAAGATACATACACGAGTTGCAAAAACACAGATCTGCACTCTACCACATGAAAAAACTGACAGCTACAATTTCTGCTCGAAGCAATAAAACGTTTTATTCACATACCTCATGATGTTGTCGTCGATCTGCATTAGGGATGTTGCCGTGTACAGTCGACCTAGTTCTGTATCGATCATTTTGACTGAGCTCCCACCAAACAAACTGTGTCTGTAACATACATGAACATACTTGTGAACACAAACACACATATCGGATGACTTTTAAACAAATTTCAGCAGTCCATAACTTAACCATTAGTACTACAATAAGACTTTATTATTACCACAGTGGGAAAGTGACCAAATCTATTTTACATTGTGACATCAACAGCTACAATTTTTGGCTCCCATTTATTTCCACTTATCATAAAGCAGAATAAAAGTTAATGTCTCGACCTGTTTAACCCACACAGATCTGTTATGTGCCACTACAGTCCAATAAACATGACCGTAATCAAGATGGATTGACATTGTCTTTGCTGGATCAAAAAGGTGAACCATAGTTTTAAGTTCAAACTAGGGGTCAACCGATTGATTCTTTCAAGGCTAATACAGATTATTGGTTATCAAGAAGACATTTGGAAATGACATATATACCTTATACAATACACAATTGCAGTGCTGTTGGTTGGACTACAAATAGAGGTAGCTGCATCAGAGCCAAAGTAGTGGTTTTGATTTTTTGTTTTTAAATCTAAAAAATAATGATATTGATAATAGCAAAAACACTTTAAAAATTGATTTGTTGACCCCTACACCAAACACCATAAAATAAGGAATGAGAAACTGTGGGGAAGCATTTTGCATTTTGTGGAAGGCCAACAGTGGTACCTGTGTGAGAGGATGATTTTCTTCATGTTGTCTGCCATGAGAAAGTTATAAAAGCGTCTAAACTGATCCCACTGCAGGAATGTTTCCTGGGCCCTGTGAGATAGAGACAAACACACAGGAAGTTAGCTTTGTGCAGCCTGTCTGCATTCCAAACAACACTGAATGTCCTGTGTATAATCCTCTGGACAAAGAGTCACACTGGTAGAGAGCAGCGATCCTGTCAGGCATCAGTATGCAACTCACTGACAGAGACAGAATGAAGCAAAACAACAGCTATTGACATTCAACAAATTACCAACCATTAACAAAAAAAATCTATTTCACTTTCCTTGTGGCTTTTCAATACAATCTGATGTCCAACAAAACTGTAAAAATAATTTAAACCCTCAGCTCTCAAGGAACACTGACAGGAGAACGGTTTAGGTTTGGACAACGATTTGAAAGGAGAATTCATTAAAGGACAAGAAACTGCAAATCCAATTTCACAGAAGGCCAGTCTCTGCAACACACCATTCCCCTGCTGTCTGAATCCAAACTTTAACAGACTCAGCCTGTCAAGTCTGCCAAGAGATGCTGGCTGCATTTAAAACACAGAAGGTGTGGCTCAGTCCAACATGAACACAGAGTACAAACGCCCACATGCACTAATGCTTTAAACACAGCATCATAATACATTTGTTTTTCATGCGTGTTTCACAAATTTGACTCTGTGTGCACAAACTCACAAATCATGCACGCTAAAAAAAATTAGAGCAAACCGAGGACAAAGTGAATGAATTAGTGGAGAGCAGTATCCAGCACTAAAGTCAAGTTTTTATGTGACTGTTGCTTACATTTATTAAAGATCCTAAAAGTGACTGCTATATCAAAACAGTACTATCATTTAAGATTACTACATTACTACAAAAGAACAGCTCAATGATGAAACAGCTGCACAGACTTGTTGGGTAGACTGGTGAATAAATGCGTGATGACATTATGCAAGCTCTAATCATTTTGTGGCATTATGCTGAGCTTCATTTTATATTTAGAAGTGTGTGTACATCAAGTGCCGGGGTTCTAAAGCGGCTTTGATGAAACCATGAATTTAATTAAGAGATGAGAGGACAGCAACCCACCTGAGAGCGCTGTACCCCTGACAGACGCTGACACAACACAGCACTCGCTCCTGGTTCGTCCTGTTCTCGCCCAGAAACTTGCACACAATGTTTCCACCCAGACTGAACCCCACCACGATCAGCTGGGTCTGAGGATACGCTCGCTTGATGTAGCCCACCATGGCCGCAAACTCCCATGTGCACCCTGTAAAAGAAACAGTATAGAGTTACTACTCAATACATACAGCGATACTTCTGTAGGATGGGATGTTTTTGTTTCTGCTCAGCACTTTTGGCTGAAGGTGCCCTTAGCTCAGGGTATCAGATTTGTATCTCTATGAGCTGTTTCCAAGTAGCTCAGGTCTCATAATCCCTATTTCTAGAAGTTCTTCCATAAGCTCAATTAGTGTCTTAGCTTTTAACTTGAAATATGTTGTACCAGGATTGATCCGAATTAAGGAAAATGAAAAATACATTTCACCAAACCAGAACAAACAAATAGATCCAGAGCTGCTTGGAAATAATTCTTAAGCTGTGCTCACTGCAATTAAATGGCTTCTGTCCAGAATTTGTTAAGCTTCAACCACATGAGAATATATTACAAGACACCAGCAGGCTCAGCAGACCCAATGAAATACTTTCTTTGTTTGAAAAACTAGTGTATAATTTCTACACACCCTTTTGAAAAGGTGCCTGGGGGGGAATGTGGGTTCACAACTGCAGTGAAAAAAAAACTTAAGTCAGCGCCATAGTCTCACCATAAGTGAACATGCGTGGAGAGGTGAGCTCGATGTTGGGAAGAGCTCCCAAGTGGTTCAGCACAGCACAGCGGTAACCATCCTTCTGCGCGTAATCCACGAAGGTCCGGATGTAGTGCTTCTCACTATGGTTACCGATACCGGGACATATCACCATGGTGATGTCATCTGGTGAAACAGGAGAATTTGCCAATTAGAAATAGGTAAGTTAAGGAGGAAGGTATGTCACTCTCCTAAACAGAGATTACCATAATAAAAGGAGCAAGGCCAAGCATGGCAGCCGATCCAAAACAAAGGATTAGGTTGTTAATCTGTCAAATATAGCTTCAGTCAAAGTAAAATAAAAATAGTAGTGCTACTTTTTTTGGGCCCCAGATGTCATGTGAGGCTTAAGCTTTCTGAGACAACCATCAGATCAAAGTTAAGGTGGTAGGGTCAGGGTTCAGCTGAGGCCTTCAAAGAAAGGAATCCCTCTCTAAAACGGTCCTCACGCAACTGCATTACTACTGCCAGATTTAAGGACCAACAAGTCAAGAAAGAGTCAGTCCTGTTAGCTGACCTGGAAATCCAGGGAAAAATAATCCAAAGCTGACAATACTCTACTGGCAAAATTACTTAATTTCATTTACTAAATATCTCAAAACAAGCCCTTTTACATTTTTCTAATACAGTTATATATAAAAGGCACAACAGTTGGTCCCGGAGGGTTTTACATCTAATGGCATCCTCTATCTATTCCTGGCCTTGAACAAGCAAGAATTCTATCAGGAACAACAAAATGGGAGAGACCTCAGAAAGATCAGCAGAGAGATCCCTCATCCACTCATTAGGGGTTGCATCAAAAGACTACAGAGCTACAGTTTAAACAGTACAGTAGCAAAAAAATAAGTGAACTCTTTGGAGCTACACACAAATTATACTATTATTGTCCACATTGAACACAAAATGTGAACATTTACAGCGTAGGTTGCTACGCTAATGGCTTAAACAAAAGCCATTTGAAGTCCAGTTAAAACACCTGGACCTGCACATTCAGTCCCAACAAAATGTGTATTTAAACAGCCATGGTGGTGTGTTGAACACTCTGTTCTCCAGCCATGGCAGCTGAAAAAGCTTTTGTTGCCTTTTTAAAACAGCAGAGTTTTTATACACACCACTGATTGAGTAACACCTCTGAGACAAACACCAAATGAAAGAAAACATACCTCAAAGCCTGTTGCAGCCCATTTTGAGGAAACATATTGTACAATGTGGAAAGTTTGCCAAACGGTGCACACTGTTTTCAGATTGAACAAGCTCCTGGACTCAAATCAATGAAACAAGACTGGAAGTGTGGGTTGGCCCACATTAGAGATGCGATGTAAGATGAGAGCCAACGTTCTCAGAATGTGGTCGAGATAAAGCAGCTCTTAGACTGTGATTGTCGAAACTTGTGACTTAAATCTGATCATATTAATGCAGATAAACCAGGTAACTCCAAAGGGTTCCTATGTGTTTTCTTGCCACTGAACTGTAAGTGTTTTGTTAACAAAATGTAAATCTTGATTAAACTAATCACCTCCAGTTCGATGGTCCCCCAGTGGCTCAAAGAGGTCAAAGGTGGCAGTTGCTCCGTCCTGCATGGGTAAATACTTCCTGATTCCACTGGGGTGAGGTGAGCTCACCCGCCCAAGTTTGCCGTACAGTGCCGTCTGGAGGTGACCGCTCTTACCCCACAGTAAGGGAGGAATGTACCTGGAAAACACAAAATTGAGCTCTGCTATGAAATTTGATCTAGAAATATGAGCTTATCTTCTAATGCGCTTGATAAGAGCATAAGGTTAATGCCCAGAAACGACATCAACACAAAGCTATCCTGAGCACAGATATTTGCATTGCTGGTTTATGACACGGACATGAACTTTCTCGCACATAGTTTGCATACAAAGTCACATTTCTAGCGGCCAACATTCATCAGTGTTTCATGCCCGTCTGTTGCTGTGTTTTGCTAAGTTATGCTCTGTATGCACACTTGAATTCCAGTGACATCTCTGTAGGAGTGAACTGTAGGAGTCAAGTCTTTGGATTATGTAATGTTCCTCTGAAGTATTGCGCCTTTTGTTGTGCATTATCATGAATTCCCATCTTATTTCCACAATGAGAGCAAAACAATGTGAACAACTTGACAGGAAAACCTTTAAGGATGCTGTTTTTTTTTTTAAATCAGCTGGCCTATTCCAGCATGTAAAGCAAAGCAAAGCCTAATATATTGAATATTATAACCATGGATGATTAAAAAAAAGAGCTACAGGGACAACAACTAAGACAACTTGCTTTTAATGCCATGTAAAACGTGACACTGTAACTCATTAGTTAAGAAGCTAATTAGGGAGGAGTTCAGGAGCATTTTATGTTACATCTTTAGTTATAGATAAACTAGTCTCCATTGCAAACGTAATCTTTCAACAGTGCCAATCCAACTGATTTAGTGTTTGGAAATGACACATTAGCAAATATTTAAGTATCTGTGTTTCGTTCAGTTATATAACATCCTATCGGGAATTTCTCTTGTCAGAATTGCTGACAGTGAAGTGAAGAATAGGCCATCTGAGGCAATGGGACGAGATAAACAAGATCAGCTTAACTCTAAACTACAGCACAGCCGCCACGTGGACATTGGTTGTGTTAACAGTACACAGACCAAAACACGGTAAGACAGTAAGAAGCAGCAGAGCGTTGAGGGTTCAGTAACATCATAGGTTACACAAGCCCTTTAACCTGTTGTTCCTCATCTGTTGCTGTGGCTCCAACAATTACTGTACCTAGTAAGTACACTCTTACATAAGCGAACTGCCAATCAAAAAAGCAGACTACCTCCATTTGGTGACAATGTAATCACCAACAGCGTGCACTGTAATTGTAGCTAAAGCTTAACCACTCTCTTCTAGAGGGTACTCTGCTTAATCTATGACTACGGGAAGAGGATAACCTCATTGTTGTAATGTGGATAGGAAGATAAGCACGCAGCCAGATTAGCTGAGTCCTACAATGGGAGGCAACAGACAACTTGTGTTTATTCCCGAATATAGTTTAAAAAATCCTCATTAATAAGCCCAATTCCTTTTTGAAATTTAAAACATGTATAAATACAGAAAAACATTTAAGTTAATTATAACTGAACACACTTTTTATTTCAGCTTAGAAGTAAAACTGATATAACAAATGTTAAATTAAACATTGTGTGATTAAAACCTGTAATTTTCTGTAATAAATGATGTTACGAATGACAGCAAGTTTCAGTTTCTCTTCGATTTGGGTGATGGGGAAAATCTTTGGTTTGCCAAATTTGCATTTTATGAAGCGCTAAATGTCACCTTTGTAGGCAATGTGTGCGCTATTGTCCTTCACAGCTATTAGGTAACAGAAAAGGGGAAACAGACGCGGAAGGGCGGTTTGACGAAACGAAGATCTAAAGTCCAGATCAAAGTCCAGAAGTAAAGTTCAGCGTTCTCTGCTTGTTTGATACTTGGTGAAAATCAATAGAGGCTGAATGGATTGGCGTCACACTATGCTAAGTGTGCCAAAGAAAATTAGACTATTTAAAGTTTCAGATGTTGCTCTGTTTACTTTCAGTGCCTGCCTTAATATATTATATATCTGTAACATCACTGTTGCCTTAACATCAAGGACCAAAAATTAAAATACAGTGTAAAAACTTTCACAATCAGCTTCGGCATATGTGACTGTAACTTTTTTTTTTGTCAACTTTAAACAAGTTTCTACAGATAAAAAAATAAAGTACTGCGATTCAAGTTATTTATTCTCGATTGGCCTGTAGACACCCTAGTGTGCATGTTCCCAAACTGTTGCCTCTGTCAAGTTCACAACACCCCTCCATGGTTTCCACTGTATAATTGATCTGTTATGCAACGACTCAGGGTGTCATGAGTTGCAAACGTGACTCCTCAGCAACAGAGATGATGTTGAGAACCACATTAACAATGCAGACAGGATGTTCGGCTTTCATATTTCTACACGTTGGTGTATACGTGTCTGTGTGCTGAGGAGAATCTGACTGTTCAGGACGAAATGATAACAAGTCAGACAAAAATGTAAACATCAGTGTGGCCTTATGATTCCCTGTCCACGCAGCTGAAAGGCAAAGGGCTCAGTAACAATCGGTTATATAAGCAGACACTTGTGATGAACGCTTGGAAAGAGTCTCCCTACAGAGCTGAACATTGCCATCGAGAACTGCGACAACAGTAGGACAGGGACAGATATGAGAAAAAACTGTTAAATTGACCCTGTGAAATGGAAGAGAGAGCTTTTCCTACAAATGACAGTAGGTTTGAGCACTGCTGCTAATCTGGTTTAGCCTAAATAAAGGGAGGACGTGTCTGTTCCAGCAACCGCAGGTTTGCATCAGTTATTATGACATCAGACATTAGAGTGTTTGTTTCATGTTCGCATCCAGTAAAATGTGATGAAATTACGAATTAGCTCATAGATAGAGACTTTGTTGTCATTGTGCAAAATACAATGACACTTGCGTGTTAACTTACAGCTAACAGCAGCAGTGCAATACAAAATAATATTAAAAAACAAATGTGACCCGATATTCAGTTTAAAAATGCTTTCAGCTGTTTACAGAGGACTTTAGAGACATTTTAGGTCACAGGGTTAGTCAAACTAGTCTCTGTTTGCAAACATAACCTTCCAGCAGTGCTGATCCAACTGAGGCAGTGTTTGGAAATGGCACATAAGCAAATGTTAAGGTATCTCTTCGTCACCCTTCTTCAGTTACATAACATTGTATCTGTATTTTTTCTTGTTAGATTTGCTGACGGTGAATGGAGGTGCTACTAACCTAGTTCAGCCTACACAGGGAAGACTTGCCCTCTTCCCACAACCACTGGTTTGCATCAATTATAAACTCAGATGGAAGAGCCAAATTATAGTCGACATTACTGATGGGGAGACTAGCATAGTCATGAATGCAAATCCCCTTTCCCTGTCATGGATGATTCCATACCATAATGCAAGTGTGACAAACCCGGTCTACATTTGGGATACCACCCACCCTCCCCAACAGGAAAAAAAATACAGCCTCGTATTTAATTCATGCTAGAACTGATGGCAAAGCCAGACATTCCTGGTACTGACATGTGGCACACTCAGGAACACTGATGACAGATGGGACCACTGCCAGACAAACTGCTACCTTCACTGCAGCCACAGATGGCTGAGCAGCAGCAACATTTCCATGGAAACACCTTAAGTGACAGGCACAGAGCCGAAAAATGCAACTCACTCTTTGGTCAGCTGAGGACACGACTTGAGGAGAAATCGGTTGAGGGGTGTGTCCTGGTAGGTGAGGTCCGGTGGCGCGGTGGGGCTCTTGAGGTTTAAGCAGCGGACGATGATGTAGAGCACTGTGGCCACTGCCGCCAGCTTCATGCCGTCGAACATCGCCGGCAGCTCTGGAGAGATGGTGTGCACGTCTGAGTCGTGGGTGCTCATGATTATTCTGAAAAACAAAAACAAACTTTTAGTATTTTACCCAGTGAAACACAAATTTCTGTAAAAATACAACACAGTCTTGTATTCAGTCTTGTTATTTAAATACAATAAAAGCACCCATGACTTGTACAAAATGCTAAAATGATTGAGTTCTTGATAAGCTGGGATTAAGTCAGAGACGAGATGAAGCAGAGAAATATCTGATGATGTCTGACTGACCTAAATATTCCTCTTGGAGCCTTATAGCAACAGATCTGTGGGAATACGGAGAGAGAGCAACTCAGTCAGATAAAGCACAGTGAGTTATTTAACACACTCACCTTAATTACATTACAGCTTAAACAGTGCCAATAGGAAGCCTTGCCACATATAGGATAATGGTGCTGACATGACTTTAAATAAACCATTTCATACAGCAGACACACACTGATTCTTGATTGAAATCAGTTCTAAGGCCTTACATCAACACATTCACACTTTAACACAAAAATTAACACTCTTGAGTATGAACAAGTCAGCTAAGACAAGAAGTTACAAAAAAAACAGGAACTTCAAAGAGTACAGAGGCCCCAGTACTGCTTGTTACCACGAAAAAGGGAAGTTCTGATACATGATTTCCCAAAAATAGATCACAGTGTTTGCATTGTTCTGACCAAGTAAACACATAAAAAAAAATTCCATAAAAGGTAAATGTAGACTTTGGTACAGATGATGATGCATTGCACAACAACTTAGGCAGAAACTGAAAATAAAAAGCTTTTTAACTTACATTTTGTGTTCAAGTTAGCCGCCGATAATAACTTGCTCCAAAAGTCTAAAAATGTCCAGAGGGGAAGTCACAGTGACACGGTCAAACCTGAGAATTACAAAAGAAAACAAACAAAATCCAATGAGAACGTGATTATAACAACAATCAACTTCTCTTTGGTTTTAGGTGAACAGTGTTAGAGGTCTAATCTCTACTTCACAGCACCTTCCTCAATATGCCTGTTGTCACTACAGTGATTTAGTTCAGTGCTTAAATTAGTTGGCTAACTAATTCTGATATTGTAGCAATACCATACCTAATTACATATGCAATTATTTACAGATAAAATTGATAAAACGAATTACTGACAGGTGAAAAAGCAGTGGAGTCACAAAACAGAGGAGAGAATGCAAGACAGCCAGGAAGCTTAGAAGCTGGAAAGTTGCTTAATTCTGGATTTATTTTTATTGAGCTGAAAAACACCCATCCAGCTGGATTTTAAATAAACAGAAGATATGCAGAGAACCCTGTTTCTTCTCAAATAATTTGTAAAGTAATATTTATTTGTCTTAGGAATCCAGGAAACTCTGATGATTATTCTGATTATGATTATTAAAATTATAAATTAATTCATAAACGTATACATACAAAGTCTGTGTGTATGTGTGTGTGTTTGACGTTCAAGAGAGAAAGTTTCTTTGTCAGAGTTTCCAAATCCCGTTGTGGAATCTTTTGCTTGTCCCTGGGTTTAGGAGAGTTTGCACATTCCTTAAATAATCTATTGTTTTGAGGAATAAACAGTTAATAGCAATACTGGAAGGTCAGACAGGGACTCTTCGTTGTTGTTCTTTTTCTGAGTTCCATATCTCACACAAGTAGAAGGGTCACTGAGATGTTATGTCATTATCTAACCAAGCCCTTCCCCCTGGTGTAAAAGATGGTTTATTATTCATCCTTATCAATTAGAAAAATGCACATTTTGACATGTCAAGCAAATCTAAGCCTCAGTTTTTGTCTCATTATTCTGAGAAAAATCTCTCCCACTTTCACATTTTGAGGTTACCACTGCTAGCCGTGTCCTTCACCCTATCTCAGTTCAAGCTGATCCTGTCACTTATCTCCAACAAAACCATTACATCAAGCAAAAACACTGTACAAAGTTTGACATTTATGAAGAGTTACCTGATGTTCTCTCTTCATGTCATTCTAATTTACATGATTTTGTTTTATTTCTGGCTGGTGGACAGAGGTCATTACAGACACATGCCTTCAGTGGGGCCCTGAAAGGGAGGCCACAGGGGGTCATGACCATCTTCGAAATCTGACTGGCCATTCCGGTTTCCACCCAAGATGCGATAGGTCAAATTCCTTCAGTGAAGTTTTGGAGAAGCAGCTCCGGTGTTCAAGTGCAGGTCAAAGAGCCAATAAATTATCTTAACAGCTATGCACAGCAGCATGCATAGATTTTAAAAATGTCAACATGATCTAAAGTTCAGTTTGTTGCCTCCAGCGGTTCGTCTAAGTCCTTCCTCTGGGTTTATTGAACAGCTGCAACATGAAACAGCAGCATGATGTGAAAGAAGTGTGCACATTTACACACAACACACCTGTAACTTAAATATTGCTTTTAATCATAAATCATCCCTGAACTGGAGAAAGGATCATTCAGGACATAATGGTAAATGACACTGAGTCACAGTTTATAGGCTACAGTTAAATCATTAGTTGCACAGTGGAATACTGAATGCCTTCACAGATGGATATTAGTTTACTGGAAAAAGCTATACATTGTTTTAACTGAAGTCACAATGTTTTTGTCATTTCAAGTTTTTCACTATTAAGAAGATTTTTCAGTTTAAGAGCAAGATATCTGGAGCAGTGACACTAATGTACGTATGGAAGCAGGAAAGAACACCACCTCTCCAATCAGTAAAGAAAGTTATATTGTACCATAAGTTGATAAGTAAGATTAATTCAAATCATATGTTGTTCTATGAACTTTTTACCCTAAAATACTCCATTGCTCTTCTTCTGGGCTATTCTGAATATGAGTCACCTTAATAACAAATCCACTAAATGTTACATTATTAGTATATGTAGATCAGATAATAAATAACATTTGGTGTTAAATAGGAAGCAAAAGTGGGATTTGTTGACCCTCAGATTGACATAGTTTTCAACTAGCTACTAGAACAAATCATATAAAATGACTGAAAAGCAGTTAGAGCTTTTAGTGTTAACTTTCTAGACTCACCGCTGCTTGCATTCAGTCCTCTTGAATGTGTCTATTGCAGGAGCTGGTATTATGTACAACATGTTCCTATGAAGCAATACCCAGCCTTGCTCATAAGACCTGATAACGTTTGTTCTCTGCATTTATCTGTGTTGTGTCACCAGAGAGAAGAAGTTCCTACATTGCTCTAAGAAAAATCAGAACTTCACACCCACAAAAGCCTCAAAGTAATGGGTTTATACAAGCATTACATGTAAACGACACTCAGCCGCTGGTGCCAGAACTTTCCCCAGCTGCATAAAATTAGCTACATAAAATAACACCACTAATACCCGTCTCATGCACTGCAAACAAACCCCCAGAGCGCATCTGACAGCGGCGTGGAGCTGAAGCAAACAGACAAGTGTGCTTTCTCCGATGCAAGCCGCACTGTGTCGGGTCATAAAACGATTCAATTTGACTCCGGAGCAGCTCTGCTAATATTAGCTCTTCTCCTTTGTCACGACTCACAACAAGCCAGGGAGCCGTTTTACAGCCACAAATGACACAATATTGCACCGAGGTACCGCTAGCTACTATCACATTCACGGACGATATAAAAAGGATGCTAACCGAGCTGCGCATCCGTGTTGTGTTTATCCGAGGGCAGGCCGACAGCATCTTTATTGGCCCTGGTAAATGAGCACCGGGGTCTCCGTTACTGTCCACCCACCCTCAATATTTTTGCGCAGTAGCTTTACATTTTCACAAAATGTACAACTTAAATCTATTTACGCATAACCCGTAGTTTTAAATCTTTTAAATCGGTTTAATCCAAACAAAACCAAAAAAAATCAGTGTCTGGGCGTCGCTATTATCGATTTAACGGTGTAGCATCGCAAAGGACGCGGCAGCTTGCATCGTCTTCGGTATTTACTCACCTCAGCCGAGCAAGTATGAATCGCCTCCTTTCTCCTTTAATAGCGACGAGGGCTGTAATTGTGTTCGTGGCTTTTCATTTGTGTTGCTAATGTGTCTTCAAAGCATGGCAGCACGATGTGTCGCACACCCTCCGCACCGTTTCACAGCCGTAGCTAACAGCACTAGCTCGAGTAGCAACGGCGGTTGCTGGCAGCTCACTTCCTAGAAGAATCCCTTATTTGCATACTCGCTTTCTGATTGGTTAAAATATTCAGTGACGTACAGGTTGGTCAGTTTCCGCGCCCCTTCGGATTTGTCTTTTTTTCGTATTTTCGTATTTTTACGTTCAAAATATTTTAACAAAGATATCGTGGCTAATAAGTAAATCAGTTTTTTAAAAATCTGTATAATAATTCCGTTGTAGATTTTAGTGTTCGACATACAACCGATGAGATCTCTCCTGAATGTGACAAAAACGTGAGCTGAAACCTGTTACACAACATTTCACCCACGCTTATCTGTATTCAATAAAAGCAATAGATATTATTATTTAGAGGATACTGGACGCTTTTTGGTTGCGATTTCTTATCAGATCAGATTGAAAGCTTCCCTTTGTTATTTAGCACTATAGAGCATGTACATATAGGCTGCAATAAGGCATGAAAATGTGCATTTGCAAGAGTTTGTTATTTACATACACTGTGCTTAATTAGTTATTTTACGGGTGTTTGAAATGAGAAATTAGTCTAATAAAAAGTAGATAGCAGTAGAGCATTATTGGAAGCAGCACCCTGTTGTAATTGCAGTATTATATCCACCTGATGGCGACAGAGTTTAACAGATGAATACTATGACGCCTTCAACCTTCAGTGCTGTGTAGTTTATTCAAAAACAAAATCACGTTTAATTAGTTATGGGTTCACCATGAGAACAGAGCGATATTGAAATTTCTAATGCAAAATACCCTCACTGTGGACCTGAGGGCAGCAGAGACTAACAAAACTCTCGACTATCTATTTGCACGTTTTAGTGTTTAATTTCAACACGTTTCTATTATTGTCATATTTTGCTACTCTTGATTTTTAATTACACACGTTCTGTTTGTATAAAAAGTGCTAAACAAAGTCAGACTGATTCATACACTGACTAATACTGACAATTTGAAGTTTACACTTTGAGAGGCTAGGAAGAGGCCCTGGGTTTTAATGTTTCTCAGCTGTTTTTCAGAGCTTTTAGGCTGCTCAAATATAACTTTAAAATATCTGTTTACAGAATTCATAAATCCTTCTGCAAGTGTTGGATTGCATTAAAATGTTTTATGTTGAAAACATAATGAATCATACTTCTGCAACTGCTTTGTAATCCCTCGTGGGGCAGTTGTGGTTTTATTTAATTAGATTTTTCTCCGCTTAATAAAAGTTAATGAATGATGTCTGATGATACTGTGGCCAGTGTCTTTGACCAAAGGCAACAGTGGCCACAGATTTGGAGTAGGCTGAGCGCTGCACTGTGACTGCTCTGTCTCTAAATAGTTGGCAAGGGTCAAAAGCAGAGCTTTCCCACGAGGATTAATTCAAAGTACCAACTTGTTAAGTAAATCACTCAGTTTTTCACTTTACTCTTTCAGATTTGATGGTGGGAGTAGCTCTGTGACTCCAGATCCCACCAATAAAGCCTGTAAATTTAATATAAGAACTACAATCTTAATTAGGTGTGTTTACATTAGTTCCAAGTTTGTTTTTTTTTTTTTTTTATTTTAACCTTAAATGGTGTGGAAAAGAGGCAGTCTGTAATTCATGGGGTTTATTCAAAGCTCCGCCTCCCCTGTCAGTTTGGACAGGCAGTGGTGCCTTCACATGCACTTCATAAAACAGGTCAAAAAGGAATGACAACTAATTAGACTATTGCGATAACTTTAATTTAAGATGACCATGTCTTTGAGCTCATTTATAGTAAAGAGAAAGAATTAGATGCAAAAGGCTGGTTGATAAGCGCCTTCAGTTTGTCTGTAATTTTAGGTTGGCTCTTTCTTATCTTCCTCTTGACAATAAATCAATATGGTGTTCTTTTGGCTTCAGGTCAGTTAAGTTGGCCAATCGAGCACAGTGATGTCATAGTCAGAAAACCATCTAGTAGTAGTTTGGCTCTGTGGGCAGGGGATGAATTCTGCTGGAGAAGTAAATCTGCGTCTTCGTCAAGCTTATCAGCAGATGGAAGCACGAAGTGTTTTATAATCTCCTGGTAGAAGCTGCGTTGACTTTGGACTTGATAAAACACGGTGGACCAACACCAACAGATGACATGGCACCTTAAATCATCACTGTGGAAACTTGACACTGGATTTGCAACACATTAAATTCTGTGCTTCTTCACTCTTCTTCCGGACTCTAGAAACTTGATCTTGAAGTGAAATGCAAAATTTTGTTTCATCTGAAAGGCAGACTTTAGACAACTGAGCAACACTTCTGTTATTTTTCTGCTTAGACCAGATGAGATACTTCTGACATGGTCTCTGGTTTAGTAGTGTCTTGATATTAGCAACAGTTGTAGCTCCTTTCCTGAAGATGTTGGAAGACTGACACCAGCCTTAGTCCAATCGTGAAGCTCTCCCAAGTTCTTGAATGGATTTTTCACAACAATCCCCTTAAGGCTGTGATCATCCTTTTTGGCTTTTCACCAATGACCTTCTGTGGCCTAAACTCCTCATGGAGGGTGTTGATGATCATCTTTCAAGTCAACAGGTTACAAGTACTGAACTAGACCAAAAGATACCGTGTATGCATGCTGTTTGACTAGTAACTAGCTCAAGCTTAAAATTAAATATTCACATTTTAGAGATATGTGTTTGTTTGTTTTTTAACTGTGGGCCATATTTATGACAAATAAAATGGAAAAATGCTTGAAACATTTTACTTCATGTGTAATGAGTCTGGAATATTTTTTTTCCCACTTTTTTAATGACAGATTAAAAGTTATTTAATTTCAATTGTTTAATTTCCTAAATAACCATTTGAATAGTAATTTATTTAAACTTAAAATAGATTTTATTTTATTTTATTACATTTTTTGAGATTTTAAAAAATATATAAATATATATTTTTGACTGTAGGCCATAATTATGAAAGATAAAATGGAAAACATGCTTGAAACATTTTATTTTATGTGTAATGGATCTAGAATATATTCAATATTCACTTTCATTAAATAACTGATTTATGACATTTAACTTTTCATTAATGTTCTAATTGTCTGTATGCACTAGTATAAGTAAAAAATAATAAGATATAGGAAATAGTTTAGCACAAAGATGCGTTTTGGCTGAATTGAATGTGCAGCAGAATTCCGACTGTGTGAATTCAACAGGCAGCAGAGATAAAGCAGAGTTGCACAACATGTTAATTAACATGCTGCTGGACTTCTCTTCCTCCTCTAAACTCTCCGCCCAACACATCACGTCACACGTCGTTAACTCGGGTATTATCGGAAAATCCCAGCAGCTCCCTCTCCTCTCACCTGACTCCTCATTTGCGTTTCATTCCGAATCCCGGTTTTTCCCACAACACTTTAAGGCAGCACCGGCTGGACGTTTAGTGGCAGCGCGTCGCTCCGAACAAACAAACCTGCAGAGAGAAAAAAAATTCGCAAGAGACAGACGAATATGAAGCGTCCTGGAAATGTGTTCACGGCGTATTTAGGAGCTTTTACTCTTCTACTTTGCCTGTATTCAATCAGAGGTAAGGACTCTTTTAAATAAATCTGATTAATCGCATTCATACAGATCAGCTCCTGTTGTCTGGTGTTTACTTGGTGACTTGTGTCTCTCAGAGTTCTGCCTCCAGACTCCATTTACTCTTTTTCCATATAATCCACAAGTTGACTTTGGCAGTGGCACCTGTAGTTTCCATTCATTTTCTTTCGTTTTCCCCACCCTTCAGTAGTCAAACCAGGTCACGGGCTTGTTGATTTTACTTTCTATACACTGTATATACGCTTTTTTTTGAGATGTGATGTGGATTTAATGAATCAGGAGATGTGCAGCCTTCAAATTTAAACATTAAATATCTTTGGAAGTGTTTTTCTAAATACCTAATACTTGTATTTCTCTTGTTATATTCAAGTAGCTGCTCTAAAAACATGTTTATTTCATCTTTAGCAGTCCAATTTACTCCCAAAATTAGGATTCAATCATATAAATATGCACTTTTTCATGAAAAACAGTCAATATGTCATTTGTACATATAGTTTGAGTACTAAGTGCTTTAGCAGACAGCAGCGTCACTTATTTTTTGGTTCCTCTCGTCCAAAAAGCTTCCTCAGGCTTCTGCTATAACACTCAAAAATACCAGGATGAAATGACAATCTGCACCGAAGTACTAGATGCAAACTTATTATTATTGTCACGGCAGAATGGATGATTAAATGTGAGGCTGCTCTGTTATTACATGCGAGACTCTGTTATTACTTGAAGTTCAGTTTTGCACAGTGGTCAGTGTAAGAGGCAGGTTTTGCAAAAGAGATGCTACTCTTTGTTTTTTGTTTTGCTCTCTCGTGCACCATCCACAGCAGGCAGCGCAGTCGTTTGTGAAAAGCATCTACAGACACACTTGGAAGCAAAGTGATGCATTGCAAAGTACTTATATGTGATTTTTTTCAGCATTTATTTTTGAGTGTTCCGTGACGCACTTCTGGTCAGACAAAGAGGTGGTGCAGATGGAGGTGGAAATAACACCATATGTGTTGTTGTCTGAGGCCAACATGAGCCAGCTGTCTGCTCACTTACAGTAGCTTTAGTTCGACCTGCAAATGTGCAGCCAACCTGCAGGACCTGGAGTCAAATGGAGATGTCAAGTGTTTTGGCTTCCTTTATACTGTGTGGCTTTTTGTTCTTCAGCGGCCATGCTGTTTGTGTACATGCAGGAGCTAACTGCTTTGCTTATTGCCACCCTGTCAGTCAAATGTGCTGCGTGTCCTGCTGCACCGTCATGTTGTGTAACTGTGGCTCATTCCTGAAAGAGCTGCTTCTGTTCAACCTGGCTAATCCCGCAAGCTGTTAATCCTGCACATACACACATTCTGCCGTCAGAGTTGGTTTCATAAAAATCTGTTACAGTTGTTTCCAGATCTTCTTTACTGTATCTGTACAACAGGAATCATTAACTGTTCTCATCGCAACATTTATCCGCAGCACACTTTTGAAGGATTTTGTTTCCACATCAGTCTATGAAGTGTATGAAAACCCACATTTTCCGTTGCATAAATTGTCCCTTCTAGTCATACATGGTTGTACTGAGATTTGTTTTCATGCTGAAACATTTGACTTCAGTGGTAAAGCCAGTCGACCCGGTTCCAACCACAGCTGTCAGATGTGCCACTTAGTATGCAAATGATTGAGTATGGTGACAACATATGCTAAGTTATCCAGCTCACATGCTCAAAATCACATTTCTACGCCTCATTGTTTTTCCAAAAAGAGAAAGTTCGACTCCGGCAGTTCCACCTGGGGCTGCTCGGTGACTCTGACGTGGCTTCTCATGAGCAAACATTGTGAGTTAAAGGTTTTGTGATTTTGACATTGTGACTCATAAATCTGTACCCTGCCGCTCCCATCGGAGGCCTCTGCCATCTTTTGAGCTGATCCAGACAGGATCAGTGACTCAGCACTTTGGACCTCACTGCTGAAGCTGCATCAGCAGTGTTGAGGAAACACAGTAGATCCCTTTTAACCCTTCAATCATAGATTCGGATATTAAGATGCACTGTATTGGCTGAGCATGCAGTCATATTTATTTTAGATTATGTTGCTCACTTGCCTATCAGTGTACTTAATAGATGTGTTGCCTCAACAAGTACACAATAAACTAAGTTGTTTAGGTTTAACTGAGAGGATTTCTTTATCTTAAAGGAGTCAGGCTACAGACAATACAGTGTTGAACATCTGTTTGCAACTTCATCCCGTCTGCTACAGTTGCTCCTTCATCCTCAGGTACAAAGCTCCTTTGTCTCAGAGCTGCAAAAGGCTTAACAGTGACCGAGCTGCACGTTGAAATACATTGAAAACCTCCATAATATTCAACGTTTCTTTTGAGCAGTTGTGAGCCGTCATAGCATTCAGACAAAAGTCATCTGTAGACTCAACAAACAAGTTTCAAACTAGATATGCTTTTGAATTGATTTTTGGGAAACACAACACTACGGTGCATTTGGAGTCTTGACCTAAAGTGTATTTGAAAACAACAGTTTGGATGTCTCATCCTCTTCTGCTTCAGTCTCTGTGATTCTTTTTGAAAACTCATCTCCTGAAAGTCACCAAACTTTATGGAGCTGCAGCACAGAACTGTTGAAGGGTATCTGACAAGGTTTTTTTCTGGACCAATACTAATTATTAGCAATCAAGAAGAGTGAATAATGATATTGGGAACCAATATAGAGTAGGGAAAAATCAATATTTTGGTTTCAAAATATAGGATAGCACAAACTCCAACAGAAAACCTTGTTGGAATGTCTGTGTATATGTTAAATATGTTTAATTTAAAGAGAAGTTTTCGACTTTTCTCCGATTTTGATAGGCTATTGATTGTGGTCTGCAACCAGTCACATAGTGCAGTGACTCTGCTTAAGAGCACAGACTGAGAGAGGAAGCTGCATTAGAGACAAAGTAGTGCCTTTTTAAATTCGCTTATTTTTTCAGGAATCAGTTAAGTAAAACAACAATACTTAGTAATTTAATAATTCAGTGAAAACCTGTTTTCTTTTCTTTTCTTTTCTTTTCTTTTCTTTTCTTTTCTTTTCTTTTCTTTCACAAATATAATAACAACACGTGATAGGAAAAGTTTTCTCATTCAAGAAACAGCCAGTGGTTTAGAGCAACGTCTGTGTTGTGGCTGCATTGCTGGAGAAACTGTCAGGATCTCCAGTTTCCATGGCAACGAGATGAATACTCTGCCATGTTGCAGGTCAAAATGTGGGCATAAACTTATGATAATCATTACCCTTCCTTTTTTTTTTCTCTTATTCCCTCAGGTGACTACTGTGAAGTGAATCACTGCCACAACGGGGCGACATGTGTGACGGGTTTAGGAGAGGATCCCTTCATCTGCATCTGTCCTGACGGCTTTGGAGGAGACACCTGCAACCTGACGGAGATAGGTAGAGCTGGGAAAAAAGGGGGAAATTCTGGGTACAAGCCTGGTTATTTTTGAACCAAGACTAATCTGATTCCTTCTTCTTATTCTTCGCCTCAGGTCCCTGCAGTCCCAACCCCTGCAAGAACGACGGGTCCTGCGAGGTCATCGCTCCGACCAGGCGAGGCGACGTCTTCAATGAGTACGTCTGCAAGTGTCAGCCCGGCTTTGAGGGAGTTCACTGCCAGATCAGTAAGTTACTCCTGACCTGATTTGCTCCCTTTACGTCTTTAGCACCTATAAAACTACTATTACTTTCTTAGAAGATGCCTAATTTGAAAGCCTCTTAACCAGTTAGTGTCTACGCGAAGGATTTATCATTCAGGGAAGACATTATCACCAAGATGTAAAGCAGAAAATCTACAACAGGTTGGTTTTAATTCCAGAAAAAGTAAGCAAATTCAAGTCAAATTTAGTCAGAACCATAGACTGCATAGGAACTTCTCCAGTCTATGGTCAGAACAGCTCAGCAAGCAGTACAGCACAAATACCAGAAGGCTCTACTTTCAGCAGATTTCTCTACAAGTGTGAACATATGAGGGTTTTTTTTTTTCCCATCCTGTCACAACATCAGCGGTGAAAGAGATGTGTAGTTTGCTCGGCAGCTTCATGAAAAGGACTCATTCAGCGGGTTTCTGTGGTTATTCTGTTTGGCTAATTAGTAAAAGGCCACTCCAAGTCTCTTAGCATGCAGACGCCCTCCACACAGGGGCAACACTGCATCCATTTGTATTGCAGTTTGATCCAATCACACGAAGAATTGAATAACAGCAAATTCCATCACATCCTCTTATTATAATCACGATGTCGGCTTGTGGTTATCGCAAGAAGTTTGGCTTTATTAGAGGAAAAAACACTTTAAAGATTAAGAAAGGGGAGAAAATATGGGATTATTTTGTAAATATCGTTTTGAAAATCCTCTTAACTGTGACTAATATTCGTAGTTATGGATTGAAACACACAAAGCTTATTTGTGTTTATGACTCACTCTGAGGAAAAAGATTCAAAATATAGCTTTGACTCTCAGGACTGTAACTCATGCTGTTACTCAAGCTGCATTTTTAGTGAATGAACAGCTCAACCTCCTAAAGCCCACAGTCTGACCACCAATTGTAGTGTTTGGTCGACCACTCCCAAACATTTTCTAATTTTGAATCAGGCAGATTTTACAGGCTGAACTGGTGACGAGGTGCTTGAATGGGATGGAACATATAATATGTACAGTAAAGAAAAGAAAAGACTCAGATGTGCGGCAAAATCTGAATCTGAATCTCAAGAAATGAATTTGAATTGTGAAAACTGACTGTCACAAATGTCTGCCCATTAACACCACAAACATTAACTAATAGTTAACATGCTTTAAGCTTAAACAGCATGTCACTGGTTAAATTCAACTACAATTTCAGAGCAATTGCAACATATTACATTCAGTTTCAAGTTTATTAGAATAGAATTAAAGTGTAATAAATTTAAATTCAAATTATGAGATTCAAATTCAAAATGTTATTACAATTATTTAAGCTCAGCAATTTAAATTTCAGTCCATTATTATCTTATTATCAGACATGGCCTTATTGTTAAAAAATAGTGACATGGTTGTAGGTAGAGAGCATTCCAGAAGTTAACAAGGTGAGGTTTCTTTAAAATTTGATTTAATAATTTGTGCATATTTAGTATAAACATCATGTGAACAGTGTTGCCAAAGCACATGGAAAATATTTCCACTTGACTAAATGAGATGCTCAGTGAAAGCAGCCTCTGCAGAGCTGGATTTAAGGATCGAATGAGGCTATTTCACGGTCCATCTCTCAGTAAGATCACTTGTTTCTCAGTGTTATTAGCTCTGCTGGGACACACTTGTCACAGCCATACAGGCATTCGTTTCTAAGTTGTGACCAATCCTCTTAGCATTAGCGGGAACAAGAATTTAAAAAGACCCATGTGGCATTACGTCAACCTGTCATCTGCTTTAGTTCTGCAGTTTGTTATGGTCAGTAAGACAATTAAATAAGGCTCTCACGCATGTGCTGGGACAGTTAGTGATTACACAGCTTTTATTTAGACCAGGTTTATGCTTATTTTTTCCTAAAACTGGGGTTCAAAGCCTATTAAAATTAAAATTTTCTCAGGTACATAGTTACGTTATTCTATTTGTTTGGCAGATAGGTGTAAAGACAGGAAATAAATAAGGGAAAAACCAACATTAAGTGTTTTAGTAAGGTGCTGGGCAACAGTTCGCTGCCAGAACAGCTTCAGTGCACCTTGGTATTAATTTGATAAATCTCTTTACCTCTCCTGGAGGGATGAACACTGTTCTTCCGTAAGATATTCCCTCATTTGGTGAACACATCAGTCCAAAATCTTCCATGGCTGCTCAATTTGGTTGGAATCTAGTGACTGCAAAGGCCATAACAAATTATTCGCATAATTTTTATCAAGGAAGAGACCACCTCCGTCAGGATAGTTTCTTTAAAGGATAAAGGTGATCACTCAGAACAACTTTGTATTGATTTGCAAAGACCTTCCCCTCTAATTGCAGATCCACCAGATCCCCTCACTGTCGGAGACAAGAGTTCAGGTTTTTCCTTTAATTTGTCACCCACCTGTAGATGTACATGCAAGGAAAATAAATGATAAATCCCTGTATAAGCGAATACAGGGACAGACAGCGGCTTATGTACACATACCAAGACCTACGCACAAAATCTGACAGTCATCTGGTTGTGATCCACTTGTTGTTTTTAGTGGATTTGTTAGGAAGTAACAGGGAGCAGAGCTGCACTCAGGCCTGATCTGGCTGCTTCGAGTCCTGTGTAAATGTATAGGTTAGAGTCAGAGAAACATTCTAAAGATATATCACATTTATTTGATTAAAACAAAACCAAAGACAAACATCATTGCCAAGTGATCTGGATACAGCTTCTTTGGTTAAACAGTGTTGCAGAGAAGAATTTATATTTAAAAAGTGCTGCCAATGAGGGTTATTGTTTGTTTTTTCATAGTTTTTTTTTCTGTTTGGTCACCACATCTGCTTTATCACTACTCTGTAAAAATGTGTAGGTCCTTTTTATTGAAGAGTGAACATGTACTGTTGCTCAGCTGAAATTGTGCGTTGAGCCCGCTGCTCCACATAAACATCTAGACATGCTGTGTAAGCACGCCACCTTGTGGAGGATGAGTGGGAGTTACACAGCAGGGATCAGGGTGGTTACAGTAGGTACTGCAGATGTAATTTGTTGCTATGGTACTTGTGGAGGAAAGGCTTTTATCAGTCATGTCAGTTATCTTTTGTCAAAGAAGAAATATCTGGAAATCCTCACAAATGATAAATCTCGCTATCAGATGAAACATGGGCGTAGGTTTGGTCCAGTTTGTATCAAATTAATGCACAAAAAAAGTGGAATGTATTCATTTATGTTAAAAAAAAAAAAAAAAAAAGTGGAATGTATTCATTTATGTTAAGGAAAACACAAGATTTAGGAGTTTATTAAAAATATGTTGGACTATAATGCAGTAAGACTGTCAGAAATTCTCTACTGATTTCTAATATTTACTGAAATCTACATCAATGAGCTGAAATGCAAAATGTATTCTAAAGAGCCCAGCTGGTATGTTTGTCATTAGTGGGTGTCAGAAATTAAATTCTGTTATACTGTTGACAATGAGTTTGTTGGTGACACAACATGGATATAAACTCTGAATATCTTCTGTGTCATCACATTCATCAAGTCATGGCACAAAATTATCAAGCTGTGACCCTTAACCTCCTCCTCCTCCTCAGTGTTGCCTTCAGGAGCATTTCTGTAGAATTAAGAGAAACTACCTTTTTACCAACTGTGTTTTGGAGACACAGTGAGACAATTGTCCATCTGTCTGAACTAAACACTATGTTCTTTCTCTAAGCTGTTTGTGGGCAGCAGGTGTGTTGATGTGTTTCACAGACTACTTCACTGATCTGAGGACACGAGATTAATAGAAGTTGATGTGTTTTCAGATGTGAACGACTGTGCCAACCAGCCTTGTAAGAATGGAGGGACGTGCCGAGATCTTGATGGAGACTACACCTGCCAGTGCCTCTCGCCGTATGTTGGGAAGCAGTGCCAGCTACGTAAGTTCAGCAACTACCACGTCTGTATACAGGCTTATTTCAGATGGGTACAGCTTAGTGTCACTTACTTTTCATCAAAAGTCTTTATCAAAACTCTGTTTGTGCAAGGACTATTTTAAAGTAGTATAACATCTTAAACAAGTGTTTTACTGGTCATTTAGTGACTTAAATACTTTACAATATACCCCAGGTTGCATTTCTCTGCTCGGGATGGAAGGAGGAGCGATCGTGGAGTCTCAGATTTCTGCTTCCTCTGTGCACTACGGCATTCTGGGTCTTCAGCGCTGGGGCCCGGAGTTGGCTCGACTCAACAACCAAGGCATCGTCAACGCCTGGACGTCTGCCACCCACGACAGGAACCCCTGGATCGAGGTGGGGCAAGTTAACGCTTTAAAGTCATGAGGCCGACCAACAGAAGCAATGATTTTTACTGATGTAGGAGCCTTTTTTTTTTTGCAGATTAACATGCAGAAGAAGATGCGTCTGACGGGCATCATCACTCAGGGAGCCAGTCGAATGGGCACAGCTGAGTACATCAAGGCCTTCAAGGTGGCGAGCAGCTTTGACGGAAACAGCTACGTCACTTACAAAGGGGATAATCAGCGGAGGGACAAGGTTAGACGTTCTTTTCTATTAAATATATGTGCACAGAAAGCTTCCCTTCCTTCAGTTCCCTCACCTCATCGCCTATGTTTGTGTGCTGCAGGTGTTTGTGGGCAACACAGACAACGACAGCACAAAAACCAACCTTTTTGACCCTCCGATCGTGGCCCAGTACATCCGCATCATCCCCGTGGTTTGTCGCAGGGCCTGCACGCTGCGCATGGAGCTGGTGGGCTGTGAACTCAATGGTAAACACAAAGAAAGCATCCGATACAGCTTTAACTCTCCCAGCAAGCACCAAAAGTAATTTGATATTAATAAAAAGAGACGGATGACCCATTTCAGGTTCAAGTCAAGTCAAGTTATGCCCTCGCTGACCTTTCCACTTTGAGCCAGATCAACAAAAACATGCAAAATTAAAGTGATGAGTCTCTTTTGTTTACCTTTCCCTCTGTTTCTGGTTTTCCTATCTTGATGTCTTCTTATTGTGGTCTTGCTGACAGGCAAAATGACAGTCAGAGAGTTTATTTCAACTGCACAACATCTAGCCATGGTCAGACCACAGAGAAAATGTATAGTATAAACAGCACCCTGTGGGTTAGCACTCGCTCTGCAACAACAAAAGCAGCAATTCTAAGCAGTCAGACAGAAACACACACATTTGTGTTTTTGTCCACCTCCAAACTGTGTCTTCTTTAATCATAACAAGTTAAACATTTCCAGATATACAGATTTAATGTGCACTTAGCTCTATGCACTCCATGGCATGCGTTCCTCTACTCTGTGCACCTCTTTCTCTTCCTTCCACTTGATCATCAGTGGGTGTTAATTTATTTCAGTCAGTTACATGCTTTGTTGCTCATTTCTTCAAATGCTGGGTGAAGTTGATTCTTCTTTTCTTCGGGTGAACTCACTTGTCTTTTTCTCCTCTTTGTCTGCTCTTTCTCTTTCTCTCGCTTTGGGTTTTTCCTCCCTCCGTCTTTCCATCTGCTTTGGATTCACAGTTTATTCAAACACGGCAGGTTGCACAGAGCCTCTGGGGATGAAGTCTCGGCTCATCTCGGACGGGCAGCTTTCAGCCTCCAGCACTTTCCGCACATGGGGCATCGACACCTTCACGTGGCACCCTCAGTTTGCCCGACTGGATAAGGCGGGGAAGACAAACGCCTGGTCTCCTGCTCACAACAACCGCTCAGAGTGGATCCAGGTGAGGGAAACGTTTGTGGTCAGGCGTCAGTATTGATTAAATGCAAAGCAGAGTATCACAGTTTGTTTTGTTTGTTTTTCGCCAGGTTGATCTTGAGAAAACAAAACGCCTCACAGGCATCATCACTCAAGGTGCAAAGGACTTTGGGGTGGTCCAGTTTGTGTCGGTGTTTAAAGTTGCTTACAGCAACGATGGGGAGACTTGGAGTACGGTGAAGGACGACAAGACCGAAAACGATAAGGTCAGACATACATGAATATCTAAAACTGTGTTTTAGTATAATATACCAGTATACAGTACACTGTAAATGTATGTCCTAGTAAGTGAGTCATAGTGTAGTGCAGTTTTTGTAACCTTATAATTCACCTGTGTCCACACCCACCTCTTCTTCTCACATACCTTTCAGTTGTGCGAGAAGAAGAAGTGGGTGTGGACACCCACCTCTTCTTCTCACACACTGTCAGCTGTGCGAGACTTTCAGTTGGCCCACACCCTGCTCTTCAGTAAACATGAACATATTTGATATCACAGGACTCAGGAAGCTCTTTTTTTTTGGGCAAAAACAACATCAAATATTTTTCTTTCTCGTATGCATTTTGCACAACAGCAGCCAAAGCACAGACTGTAAAAAGTTACAATGATGCTGCAAGTTGCGTCTTGGAGCATTTCAGCAGCGAAAGTTACAGGATTACAAATAATATAAATATTGTTTATACTGGAATTTTGTATCAAAATTAGGGCCTGACTGATTTATGAACTGGCCGATTAAATCGGCTGATTACAGCCCTTTTCAGGTACTCATAATCAGCCAGAGTTTTGCTGATGAAACACCAATATATTCTTAATTTCTCATAAAACACTACATGATGTGAAGTGTCACAGTCGCTTTCATACATTTTGTACAATTTGATTTTGTTAAAAGGCAAAAGCGTGTAAAAGCACTTCAGCAACAGCCCCTTTTTTTGCTGCTGCTTGCTGTAAACAAGTTGCTCACTGAGATGATGAAGAGTTAAGATAGCTTACGACCGTACAGCGGTAAGATCACTCACTCTGCCGCAAAGTCTGAAACCAAAACAGCGCATAGAGCCTCACTCTGACGGGTTTTCAGAGAACTACAGAAAACAGCTTTTTAAACTTTTTATCCAACTTTTTAACTAACTCATTCAACTTCCATTTTTATTAACTTATTCTCATCAACTTTAAAGACAGCACAGTCTGTGAGAGTCCAGAGCATCAGAGCGCTGCATAAATAATGTTCTGCCAGTAACTTCACTCATTATGTTGCTTATATACAGCATACACCTGTGGCCTAAACCTAAAGATAATTTCATCAGTACAACTGGTAGCTATATGCATGCTCCATAGAAAGAAAAATGCACAATGCAAATTTAAAATAAAATACCCCACATTACAGACATATTTGTTCGGAGAACTTTTTCGTTGTCATCCACAGCTCGTTTTCTGTATCACCCCCAAGTTTGTCTTTTTTTGCCATTATTACAAGAGACTATATGAGGGGCTGTTTGTGGCAAGACCTCATTTGTATGTGTAGAGGGAGTAGTTAAGAAGCTACAGTCATTTAAATGTCATGTTAGGCCTTTTTGTTTCAGAAGTGGAAAGGATGTGACTTATTTTTGCCATTGCGCTTACAAATGCTAAAACATTTTCTCCAGTGTTTGTGTATAAACTGAAAAAGTAGTACACAAAGCATGCAGTTTGTAAAGACACAAGTCCAACAAGGCAGCTCCCTGTGCTGTTTGATAAAGGATCAGATTTTTTGCTGCAGATGAGTCATAAAAAGTCAAACAAACTGATGTTTTTACTGAGCTGCAAACAGCTTCTAGGTTCATGGCATAATGATGCTGCCCAAGGCTTTGTCTAACTGTTCTGAACATCAGGGTGGAGCCAGCAGCATCTTGCAACACACATCACAATCAGTCATTTTGCATTTGGCATTTTGTGGTGTGTGCCATTATCATGAAAATTGTGCTGATTCAGCTTGGTTGCATCCAGTGGAAGTTTAATTTAGGTCGCTACTTTGTCTTATAGGAAAATGCACGATACTTTTGCTCAGTGAGTAAATATTTTACCCCAACATTTATTTGCAGCTTTTCCAAGGAAACATTGACAACAACACCCACAAGAAGAATCTGTTTGAGCCTCCGTTCTACGCTCAATACATCCGCGTCATCCCCTGGGAGTGGCACGAACGCATCACTCTACGCATGGAGCTGCTCGGCTGCGATGACTAGAAGCTCATCAATAACCAATAATCAAAGCTCCATCTCCTCCGACCGCAGCAGAGAATGGATCCACCGAGATCATGTTTGCTGCATAGCTTGGACTTTAACACTTGTAGCACTTTCTAACTAGTGACTTTTTTATGTTTATGTTGATATATTTGTTTGAAATTGCAGCTTTTGATTGCTCACAGAGTCCCTTATTTAGTAACTATGCTTTTAGCGTTTTTTTTTGTTTTTGTTTTTCTAATTTGCACAGATTTGCTTAGTCTGAATGATTTGTTCCCTTTAAGAATCCAAACTCTGCTCTTTTGTAGTTTTAACAATCTGCAGAGGTAAAACATCGTCACTATCATCCTCACTGTGTCTTACTCTGTCTATTATTCAACTGCTGTTTGGTTACTCAAGCACAAATTCGCATAATGACGCAGGGTCGGTGCAATACAGCGTATATTTTGGAATTTCCAACCATTCAGGAAGACAAAGTGTGTCCAAGAGTAGAAAATTAAAACTTTCAAAGTAGTACTGCAGCACACTGATGAAGCCAGTAAATTGTAGGGCAAGTTCTTCATGTTGTGTCTGTTTTGTTGATTTTTTTTTTTTTTTTTTTACACATTTTGACACATTTTTCAGCTTCATTCTTACATAAAATTTCATTCTAATTTAAAACTTTTTACCACAAATGTGAAATATGTAGAAAGATACATATATGTAGAAAACATTGTTTTACATTTGTTTTTTAATTCATTGTTGGTCTTGGACTAAGATCCTTTATTAAATGTTAAAATAAATCTGTGTGTGTGTGTGTGTGTGTGTGTGTGTGTGTCTCTTTCCTGTCAAGAGACAAAAAGATGTGTCTTAATCATGCGTAAGTTTGAGCTGTTATACTAAATGTCAGAAGGAGCCAGTGCTGACTGTAGAGCCCTGTTAGGTCAGACAGTGTGTGTACATGGATGTTGGTAGCTGATTTCTGAATAACCAGACTTGTCAGTGAAGTCACACGTGGGAAAAAGTGAGAAGGGAAAAGGACAAGTTAAAAAAAATTAAAGGAGGTGCAGCAGGGCTTTAGGTTTGAACCCTAAACTCAAACTTTTTACTAACAAACCTGCTGCCAGGTTTCCTCTGCCTCTTGCACAAAGCACAAATCGTCCCAAACACATCGTCCCAAACACACATTTATTTACATCCAGCGCTGCATTAATTTTTTTTTTTGGGTAGGCATCGATGGAGTTGTGTACTTTTCTCCATCTTGGGAGGTGGGACACTTCACCCTCCTCTTCATCTGAATCTCCCTCTTCCTCAGAATCACTACCTTGTGGCTGGTGTTCTTCTGAAAAGCAAAAAAATATTGGAAAGAAAGAAATGCAACAGGAAGATTTGCGCGCGCACACACACACACACACACACACACACACACCTACTCACACACACACACAATTATTTTCCAACTCACACCTGACCTCTCACTGACCCCTGAGCTCCTAAGTGTCCCTCAAACCTGATTCAGGGATCCACTCCTCCACTTCTCCTTCACTATCACTCCCTGATAGCACACTGTCCTCATTTTCTGAGGGAATGTCCCTAACTGCACATTTCCTTGGTTTCCTTCCATAAAATGTTTTTATGTCCATGTCCTGAAATTATCAGTAGATTGTAAAGTAAAAAACATTGACTATGATCATATAAATGCACATAAACACATGTCTACACACATATGCTAATGCATTATATTGCTTGAAAAAAATTAGGCTAACTGCACAGTGTTGCCTTGAGGTATTATTTTTCCATGTAAACATGTACAATACTAATCTTTATCCTACCTTCTTTTTTGTTTTTTGCATTTTTGCTTTTATTAGTCAGGACAGTGAGAGAGTGAGACAGGAAAGGGGGGAGAAGAATGGGGAGAGACCTGCAGCAAACTGTTGTGAGCAGGAAACAAACTCACGAACGCCACACTGGGGAACTATAGCCCCTGTTCATGGGATGCCCGCTCAACCAGATGAGCTATAGAGACGCCCATCCTACCTTCTAATGGAGATGGTTTGCATGTAGTGCAGCTTGCAGAAAGAGGTCCCCACCCTATGCAAATGAAAGTCACACCACCTTCAATTCATCATCTTAACCGTTTCATGCATGAATTATGATAACTTCAGTAAGGATTTTTTGACTAAGTGTTTTTATTCATCTTTAGGCATGAAAATCAAGGTTTGAACTTTAATTTTTTTTCAACCCATTTTTGTAAAAATATATTTACATGTCCACTCAGCTGGACAGCATGCATTTTTTGTAGAAATATATATTAAACAAACACATGAATAAAATCATATCATACAGTCTTCTGAAATGTGAAATGTGATGTGAACTATAAAATATTATAATTTATGTTTACATAACCAACACACCATTGAAGGATTCACTCTCCTGTATAGATTCCCAAGTCTCTCGCTCATTATCCATCAACTGTCCATAACAGCCATAGTAGGGTGCACTGCCCCAGCACTAACTTATACTCAGTATTTTTATGGCTAGCTTTACTGCAACGAAACCTTTTCTAAACTTTCCCAGCCCATCAAAATCAAACTAAAATCTGTTACATTAGCCAGGTCATAACAGAAAGAGTGTACATACAACTGGCATAAAATTGGACCTGTCATTGAACAGAGGACCGCTTGGCACTAGTAACAAATCTCTAAACTAAAGATAGATCCTCACAGTGTCTTGACTAGAGGTGGCATGCATCATATACAGCGCCCTCCATAATTATTGGTTAAGATGTGTTAAAAGCCTTAAAATAAATTCAATTTTTATTGCAGAAGCATACTCTCATACTGAAAATTGTAGAACAATGTAACCTTCAACTCAACTCAAATGAATTGTTGGAAAAAGGGGGTTGTACAAAGTATTAACATCAAGGGTGCTAATAATTGTGGCACACGTGATTTGATGTAAAAGAATTACTTTTTAATGTGGGATTTTTTCACACTGAATAAATGCACTTGAATTAAAGGTTGAATTTTCCTCTGTTTTTCATTGTAGTCCTATTACTAGAAGCTACAGAACACATCTTAACCATCTTAAGCCAAAAATTATGGAGGGTGCTGTATCTATTGTCAAAGCATACAAGTTGCTACTTGTGTAGAGACTATTTTCTGTGATAATTTGCAAAGCACCCAGGGCACAAAGCCACAAGACATCTGTTCACTGGCATTGCATCTGCAATCAAATCCAGACAAAGGCCTGCCTCTGATGACCAATATATTCTTCATCTTGGTTATCTGATGTATGACATGACCATATTTACTCCTAGAAATATTTTCAGCTCCTGTAATGTCAAGGGCAAGACTCTCTTTTCCCTTTTGGAGTACATAAATGTTTCTATTGTGCACTATATCATCCATCAGATCTTCTGGAAATAGATACATAAAGAAATCTATTGGTTCTGTTCCCTCAACATCCACTTTCCACTCTCTTAAAAAAAAGGAGGCACGTCTCCCTCAAACTCATTGTCTTTAGTTTTACAGACATTTTTGCTGGGATTTTATGTGCCCTTTTCCCCTTGACCTCTGCTAAGTGATGCATCCTCGGCCTCAACTCCTTCCCCATCATTTGCATCCTCAGCTCCCTCAGCCTCATGTCCCTCAGCATCCTTTCCAGACTCAGTGTCCTCAGCACCACTGCCACTACTGCTAGTATTTGCTAATCCATCCTGTTGTGGCAGCTATTCCTCATCACTGCTACGAGCATCATGCTCCTCACTTGAATGTGATGATAATTCCTCCACTACCATGTAGGCCTGTCTACTACGCTCTGCTCCTGAGCTCTACAAAATATAAAGCTATTCATAAAGACATACAAAAACTTCTAGTTACATTCTTAAAACACAAACAAGTTTATTTACAGCCAAAAAAGTTCCTGGAGATGAAGTATTTTCAAGAACAGCAGCAGTAATAGCCTTATTGTATCCTGTAGATTGTAGTTGAAATATAGCCAGTGATGCATGATGTACACTTTAGTGGACATGTGATTAATCATAATTTCCTCCCAATATGAAATCAATACTTGGAAAATTTAGCAATTGCATGACTCATTTGATGTTACTTGATTTCACCATATTTTTCTTACCTGCAAGGGTCTCTTTTGATAGAAGTTTTGAAGAG